ACGGGTAGAATCAATTGCGAATCGTTCTTTCTCTCAGAGCTTCGCGGATACGAGCGAGGTCGCCGGTAAACCGCACGCGGACGCGACAAAAACGGGCCGCCGTCTCGATCGGATAAGGGCAGAACGCCCCGGGACGTCGCGATCCATTTCCTGCACGCGGCTTAAGCGCTACCGATCTCCGCCGTGACCTTATTTCGCAAACAGGAGACGACGGAAGCTCTCGCGCCCTTCGCCAAGCCGTGACACGCACCGGGCGACGATCCTGTCAGCCGGTCGATCGTCACGCCAAGGTCCTTTGACGATGCGACGTAAAAAGGTGCTGCTGGCAGAGCGACTGGAAAACACACTCGGCCATTGATATAAACGAACGTGACTGCCGCGCCTCCGACACTATTATTCGCACCTCGAGAAAGGCACGAATGTCGTCCCACGCGTCCGCAGCTCCGGCTGCGCGATAAATCGGCGTTAAGTCGAAATTACGATCGTATCGGCCGGTCGGTAGCGACGGTGCGTGCCCAGGCAAACCGCGCAGGGCTTACAAGTCCCGTGTTCCATCTGGACCGGACGATCGAGCTCCTCGTGTAACTACACGTACGTCCTCGTATTGATGATAATTGCCTGCCGACCATTCGTCCGCTTTTTCCCTTCGCTTTTGCTACCCCTCGTACGACGGATGCGTCGTTTTATTTCGCGTCATCCGAATGAACACCGAGACCGACAATTTTTCTTAAGAATCTACTGAAGCGTCATCCACTTTCAAACTATTACTTAAATTTTAATTTTGCATTAATATGCGTGACGAATATAATAATCCACTTTACGACAATTTATTCATGATATTGTGTGTTCTTTTTTACTAAAATTCTTTACATATTAAAAAAACCGTATATTCTTTTTTATCCTTTCTATCCCCTTCGATCGTCTATATCGGGAATTTTTTATGAAGCATTCACGCAGCCTTTCGTTCGACGCTTTTGAATTTTGCAACCCCTTTCAACTGTCATTTATAAGACAGAATCATAAATAGAAATTACAAAAATATAAAGCGAAAGATTACAAAGCTTTGTATATGAAACAATGAGAAACATAGGTGTTGACAATATATTGGTTCTTTTTATTTTTACATCGTTTGATAATTATTTCATAACTTTTGCACAATACACTCGCGAAATAAATCTATAATTCATGTATACCAGCTTGACGTTGCATGCGGTTATTATTCATAATTAATTATCGAATATATCGCCCTTGGTATTGTTTCATAATCATTCGTTTTTAAACAGTATCTTTACGATTTCCCTGTATCAAAAAGAAAACGTTGAGGTAGAATAAAATAATGGACAACTTACTAAAGTTCATGACAATATAGATGACAATGAAAGTTACATACTAAAGAGAAAATAGATATTTAAATAAAATGCTATAATTTTCGTTTACATTTCAATAATTGATCACACGTCAATTACGAAATTAGTATATATATATTTTTTTTTTCACGAAATTAATATATATATATATATATTTTTTTTAGATTAGTACATATATATACTTGTCGAATTTATAGCCTAATTAATAAACATGAACTGTCGCGACAATTTTATAAACTAGTGAGATAAACTTTCAACTTTTCTCGCCCGATCGTTCCGTTACGGTTGTCTCACAAACTATCCGTGGAATACCGCATATACATATTGAAATGTTCTTCAATTGAAAACAAGTTTAAAAGCAGTTATTAAAAATTATCTGCATTTTCCATAAATTTTATTTTATACGCAATTTTATACGCCGAGTGATACGGTCGTATCTCGTGTTCTTTAAATTTTCACTTATCAATAGAAAAACTTTGCCATATTGGCTCAATAAAATCCCGAGATAAATTTTAGTCGGTATTATTTAAAAACGCCCTACACATGAGCTTACGTTGCGTGCATCGGGTACTGTGTCACTTATGCTAATTTCAAAACCTTTTGAATCCCGGCGGAGGGTTCCGAGGGCACGAATTGTTCCTTCGGATCTTCGTGTCAGCGTCTCGTCACTGTCACGTGGGATTAGAATCCGGTTTTCGATTCACGCTGCACCCTGTCAATGAAAATAATAACGACGGGCGCGCGCGGAGCCGCGCGCTCTCGGCGCACACGCGACGACCGTATTGTAGACCGCGCGCGACGCTCGTCATCGGCAAAATGAAGCGCTCGCTTTGTATCGTCAGGAGTTTACCGCGGTGCAAACACGTCGCTTGCCGTATCACTGTCGATTTAATTGCAATTTCCATCGCGAGCGAAAATTACCCACGCGGATCCACGTTTAAGCCCTCCGGGATAGAAATGGTGTTTCTTCCCTCGAACTGAAAGCGCATTACCGTCCACTCGTGACGAACGTGCGTATTAACCCTTTAGATATCAGGGGAGACGGTGGAAGGTCGTTTCGAAATTGCTTTTCATGAGCGAGAGAGAGAGAGAGAGAGAGAAATGTATACATAATTAATATATATTTAACATATTTAATAATGCATTTATACATGTACTCTTTTGCAATATTAATATGAGAGAAATTACTAATTAATACTATATATAAATATATTTATGTAATATTAAATAATCATACACACACAGTAGTAGTCAATATAGATTATTTTGGTAAATGTAGTAAAACGCAAACTTACTCATTATATTTAGCAAAGAAGAATATCGATATATATTTTTGTCGATACACCGGAGTCGCAACATGATTTTGAAAAGAGAGTTTTTTTTTTATCAATATACGTCAATAGGGAATGAATGGAATTCACCTCTGAAAAGATTTAGGAGAGCTACATTTCAATAGATGAAATGGAAATGTACGAAACAATGATATGAATTTTAAACCGCTTTTTGTATTCCATGCGACGAAATTTGGCTTACTATTTGAAGGGTTAAATGCATCCGAATTCGGTGGCTCTTCCGCAAATAGTGCCGCGCTCACATCGTGCCGTTTTGAAATCGTTTTAATTGCACGTGCACTCGGCCGCGTGCGATTGTTATTGATCAATAGTCATCATCAGCTGGCTTGCACAGCACTGTCATATATCGATTCAGTATTCTCGGTAATTATGGATTCTCTATGTACGTCATTGCTTAGCGTGTGCATATTTCGGCCCGGTTAATCGCACATAAAGTTCGTGCAAAATATGCCACAGATGCGAAGCGAAATGTTATATACGAGATGAGAGGACGCAGCCATCCATATTTTCGTGTCTTTCGAGCAAAAAATGTTCATTTCATCAAAGTTCAAATTAAACTTTTATTACCGTTGCAAATTTGAAAAGGAGCGCGGCAGGAATAATTGGCTTGCGAATTGCGTATCGGGGTTCTATCAAAAAATCGAAAATTGTAAGTTATTCATAAAATCATAATTGCATCAGGCCACGAAGATCGCAATTCACATTAGTTGAACGCTGAGCATAAACAGCGTCATTACCGCGCTTATGAATACCAAACAACAGCGTTAAACTACCGCGGAAATGCAATTGTTTTTTTAGTAGCGTCCTATATTTCTTCGAAATAACATGTAACTAGTTGTCTACCTTTAACGCGTAACTTCATAACTGTCGAAATTTGAATAAAAACAAAGCGGAAAGATTTTACGGACAGTTATAAGTTGGATAAATAATCTTCGGTAAATGTGAACGTAAGATGTTATATAAACGATGTATTGCGATTTGGATAAATAATTTGTTATTGCGTCTGGATTTTAACGCGTACTAAGACGTGCTCAGCATACCCGGTATTCTCTTCTTTCCCTTTCGTAAATTTATGTGCCATTCCACGAAGCATCATCCGGTATACAATCACAAACGTGGTTGTTTTCTCAAGAGAAGTGGTCCAGCCGCAAACGGCACGCGGCTTTGGGGATTAAAAGACTACGTGGTTTCTTGTAACGCCGTAAACGTACAGGAGTTCTACCAAAAAGAGATTCCTATGTAGTCTGTCGTAAAATTTATAACGGAAGGAGGTTGTAATTCAACTGACCGTACTAAAGAGAAGTTTGTTAGCACGCTTTATTGCAATTTGGAAGCTATTTGCGTAACTATTCGTGAGTAACGTCAAAGTAAACGATAAAGGAGGAGAATTGATTTTACTATTATTCTCGAAATACTTTAAATTTAAATATTGCTACATAATTTAATGTTATAGTAAACATTTCTTTCGCCTCTTTTGCGGTAATAAATTAAATCGCCTAAAGTATTAAGCAATTAATTTTAAAATTTATTATATTGTTGTGTTTTTGTTCACCGGTTATTTATTAAAATTGTTAAAATTTAATTGCTTATCAAATATCATTGACGCGTTCTGATATATAAAATCAACTTATTAAAGCACCCAAGTATCTCTGTGGTGATGCTAGTGCCATCTTTGCGCTGAACAGCGAACTGTTTAATTCTTCTCCTCTTGATATCATTTGGGAATAAAATAATTTTTATATATGTGTAAGTTATATTATTTAATATAATTATAAAGACACTATACTTTATATGCTAAAATCATACATAACTTTATTATATTATAATTGTAAACTTACCGTTTAATTTGTGTAATTTTATGATAAATCTTGAGGTAAGTCGTATTTTGCCCAATAGATGTTGCTATAATTGACTTTTAGGAATACAAGCTTTTTCTGTCGGTCATTAAAGATAAAGCAAATTATTTCTAGATAAATATTTTTTATATAATCGAGACAATTTAGTTTATTACTTGACATTGTTTGAGGAATGAGATGTTTACTTCAAGAGATATTTTAAGAAGAACATGAAGAGAAATTTACGTTGTAATTTAAAATTAATACATCTAAAATAAATTGGCATATATTTATATTTAAAACTCAAAGTCATAAAATATATAAAATGACAAAGTATAAAAATTAATTCGATATTATTTTTATAATATATGATGCGAAATCCGTTAAACACTTTTTTTATTGTCGTTTACTTAGTTTATTTGATAAAAAATGTGTAACATTATTGATTGATTATATCATATATTATTTAATCATTCTAATATTATTAGGATCTATGTACATACTCCACTCATCGAACATAATTAGGTACACGTATACAATAAACTTGCATTATATCGCAACATATAAGTTTGTCAAAAATATATCTAAGTGTATAATATAGCCGCTCAACTTCTATCTATAATAAATACAAATATCGCTCGTAAGTAGCACTTACTCAGCCTTAGAGTTTTCCGTTTAAAGTTTCGAAATGCGGTATACACTTTGTGATTTTCTCGAATGTATAAAAACGATCAAAATTATATATAGACAGCCTTAAACACTCGCGAGCATTGCGCTATAAAATTTATGACAGTGCGAAAGTTCTAAAGCACATTCGTTAAAAAATGTATACAACGACTTTTTGTAAGGCAATGCTGGTGAATTAATATTGAAACATCTTGTATAGACCGAATTGCTTGAATTTCAACATATTTTGTATTATATACTTTCGAAAGTTATTCAAACGTAGGTCCACGTCGAAGCTATTTATTGATCATTTGGAGTTCGCTTTAGTATTAAGTTTTGAAATGAAATCCGTCGCCTGATTGTCCCCTTTGCGATGCTCCAATGCGCGGATTACGTCCGTACCTGGAAAATTTGCATATATATAGGAATTAATGTATGGCAAATATGCAAATAAATTATGCGTGTGTCGAGCGTTATACTTCAAGCTTAAAAAATCAAATACAGTATTATCGTCAACGAGGTCGAAGTAATTTGATTATTTAAACATCGTAAGTCACGAACTATCATTGTTTCAGAAACATGATTGGATAGAAACTAATTTTCTATTGTATGTCATTACAATACGTACTCTTCTTGGTTGGGCGAGAAAGTTTTAAATGAACTTGTTCTAAAGTTTCGAAGCCGCTTTCTGGCTCAGTGTCGGGAATTTCACTGAATGGTAGGAAAGCTTCAGCCATGAATCTCACTCGAAGGAAATCCTTGTCCTTGACCTCAAACGACACTATAGCGTCTTCTATTGCTCTTTGTTCCTGACTAAGAGGACTGAAAAGTCAGAATTTTTATAAATATTCTACATTCTATACTTCATTTGCCACACTTATTTATAATAATTTCGATATGTAATAATAACAATCAGCAAATTGTTACTAACATGTGGAATGTTTGGTCAAAAAGAGGAAACAGCGTTTCTTTCTGTACGTGTGTCTTCGGCGGCTTAATTTCGGTGAATTTTTCTTCAGGCAGCAGCCTGATCTTCACGTAGGAGTCGCATTTGCCTGGAAAACAAACATAGTAAAACTGTATCGTATGTAATGCGTTCAAATATTCGAGGAAACCCAGTGTGAAACTATTCATGCACGGTGAAGGTGATTATCACTGCCGGCGCAATCTATTTATATCGATGAGGTACTTTGATATAAAACTTCAATTTAATCACTTGGCGTTAATCGCTTCAGACGATTTGCGACTCTGAGTGAAATTCGTTCACTAATAATAATTTTAGAGAACCTCATAGATAAGGTTGCAATTAATCGACGTAAACAATACTCAGTGTCAATATTCGATTTTTTTGAAGACCAGGAAGACCATTGTGTTTTCTAAAGACTATTTTTTCTACTTTGTACGAAATGTCAATGCAAATCCGTGCCATGCATCTCCAAAATGCTGTTTCCGCGAGGACAGGCAATTTGATAAAGAATCGTATAACAATGATGAGGAAGAACTTTACATTTGCTTTTACATACTTGTCTTCCCTTCTTTCAATCTTTGTTTAGATTTCGAGTGCAGTTTACGCTCGAGAGTAGACAGCTTGCTTATAAAATCTCCTACAAAATCGAGAATAAAAATATATCTCCTTCTTTCCAATTCCGCGATCATTTACACCAACGATAATTGTATATATTGAGGTCTCTAAAATTTTTAATTCATTTGCAAAAGAGAAAGCCATATATTTATTCGCAGCGAATTAGCTATCACAAATATTTAGCCTGAATTGCAAGTTTATTTAAGATTATTTAACGCCCATTCGTACCACTGGATATTTCATTTATTACACCATTTTCTCTTCGCAATTATAAACAATATTTCGCGTTTTTTTAACCGAGAAAACTTGAGGCCTTTTAGTAACGATGTTTCTTGTAGTTTCGCAAATACTAATGTTGCACTGTCACATACGAGTAGATACCGTCGAGTTTTTCCTCGTGAAAATATGTTATCGCACTTACCATTGCTATCCATGCAGCGGAGATTCCTGGCACTCATAATTTGTATATTCAAGGAATTATCAATGAAATGAGCTTTGACGGTGATAAGACCATACATAGGTTCTTCCATTTCCTTCTGCTCTTCGATACGCTCTTGATGATAACGATGTATAAGCTCGGCGGTTTCAAGCCCGTGCAATTTTAAGAGATTCTCGATTTTTTCCAACACTTGCACGTTCGCGGTCTCGTCGGCACCAAAATTGAAGAATCGTATGAGAGTATGAAGGGTGCGATGCAAATTGGAGTAAAATGCTGGCGGTCGTCGTTTCTGTTAGCAACAAAATGATTTCGTCATAAAACTGAGACTCTTTGCGTCCGTATTTCTGACAAATACCTCTAAATTATTGTTGACTAGCTCATACAGCGTCTGCGACATGATCTCCCAAATCACCAGGAGAACTCTATTAAAGTTATCCTCGTTGAGATTATCATGCAAGGTGGTTAGATTACTGTCTAAATACTGTAGCAGACGATCCATCGCGTTGCTGGTCGTATCGATTAATTCGGCGCCCTCCATGAGATACCTGAGAACACAATCTCTCAGTGACTTCAAGAGATAACTAAGCAGAAGCAAATAATAATCTTATCTGTTATGAATTACAAAGATTATTGTCTAATTGCAAGAAACATGCATTTTGCATTCTACGCACCTGCTCATCGCCGGAGCCATTTTGTTGGCTACGACTTCCAACAACTCTATGATCTTATTCCTCACAGTATCCGCGGCATTGTCAATGATAAGCTGAAGAGTCTGTCGGCAACGATCGGCTTCGTTTTGAGTTTTGACTTCTCCTAGGGCTTTTACAATGTTTTGCAATCCTAAGTCGTCGGCCAACGGTGCGATTGATGTTCTGATGTAATCGATATTATTAATGGCGAAGCACCAAGCGGTCGATATTGTAAACTTCTTCTCGTAAACGCTGCTCTGCGAGAGCTGCTCCAGTTCCGTCGTCACCTCCGCTTTACTCGCCATCTTGTCGGCGTATGCGATGGAACATTTACAGATGTCCTATGAGAGAGAAAGAATTATTTTGTTATAAATTATATGAAAAATGGGTTGCTCAAGATTAACAATGTTATGGAAAAATTCGCAAACTCACGTCAATGATTTTTGCTATAAACGTATACGATCCTTCAACGTCGGGCCAGGCTAGCTGCGTCCAAAATACTTTGATCTGATAGAAAATAGTTAACGTATCTACAGCGCTCGAACTATATTGCACACTGTTGTCAACCGCTTGCAAAGTATCGAATTCGACCGCCCTGTCAATGCGTTTAAGCGCCTTGTACACGGCAATATCCAACCAATGTCCAACACCGCCTCGGAACCACTCGTAGTAACTTTGTATTTTCATATCTTGTAGCTGCCCTTCGGCACAAAGTACTTGACCGAGACTGTAAATTAGGTATTCAGTTATTAGACGAGCGAGTTGCTTCACGTTATTGTCGTCTTGGCTTTGTAGGTTTGTAACTCACACTGCGTATCTTTGAAGCGAAAGATAAAGCTCGAACAATGTCGTGCCCAAGCTTAACTCTGCATCGGCGGTGCTATCGATTTCAATTCGCTTCAGTCTAGCGCATACGTCCTCTACGATGATCATACACATGTCACTAATTCTCTTCTCATATGCAATGTATAGTAATCTTGCGTACGGAACGTTGACTTTCCTAATATCATAATAATACAATTTAATATACAATTGCATATATATATGTCTTCGATGTGTTTATAGCGTTTTCCAAGGTAGACCGACTCACTTTATAAATAGTTTGTCATAATTATCAATGGCCTTTTGTAAATCCGTTCTAATCAGTTGGATCACTTTGTTGTGATATCTAAGTGCATCTTCGTCCGACTCAGTTTCAGGTGAATTATTGTTGAGTATGTGCTCGAACCTTCAATTAAAGTATCAAAACGGTCAAGGTTACCGATTAAGACGTATAGATTGATAAATTTCTTTTTACTTACCATTCGGCACAGCCTTGTATAACCGTGTATTCTAAACTTTGAAGTACATCTAATTTAGAACCGTCAGGTTCCGGAAACCAAGAGTACATCTTGACTGGAAAGAGGTCTATGTCCTCAGGAACTTTCAAAGAAGATATGGATGATAATATTCTAAAAAATCAGATAAAATAAAGCATCAATATCACATCAATTCGGGGTTGCAAGGTTATTAAAATTGCGGCAATGTGGAAAATTACCCTAAAATAGCGGATAACTGCATCATGGCGTTCTTATCTCCCAAAATCAGTCTTCGAATTTTTCGTACGCTATTTAAACATGAATACAGAACTTTTTTGGTGGCATCCCAGAAGAGTCTGATTTCGTCAGCGGAGAACAATCCGTTGTCCATCGGCCTGAGCAAATCGACCGCGAGCTTATTGAAAAGCGTGAAACTCAACGGATGTTCTTGATGAATTCTGGCATATTCGACCCATTGCGCCAGAGCGAGATTCCTGGCTAGTAAGCCACGTTGTGCGCTGTGTTGAAGTATGAGAGCTTCGGCTGGTCCGGACCAACGACCACACCAACAGTACTTCTCGATCTTCTCTGTCTCAATCTCATGAAGCAACAACACTCTCAGCAGGTGTCGATGTTCCTGCGCAGCCACTTGTGCATTGTGTTCCGCACTGAAGGCTAATCGAAGCTTTACGACGCCCCGACGTTTGGTTTTGTTCTTTTTCTCGAGAGCGTACCACATAGTATGCCCTGTCGTGGGTATATCCTGAAAGGAAGTAATTTCAAAGTGGGAATATATATTTTATGAGTCGCAAACACATTTCAAACGTGTCCAAATTAAATATTGTAACCAATATTTTACCTTTAACGGTATTCTACATCGACCAATGAATTCGTTATCGTGACTACCAGTCGTAGCTGTAACTGCGATTTCCTTGGCTAATTTGACTAAGCCACGAACACCCTTTACGTCCCTAACTTTGCTCATTTTTTCAGGAACAGTTTCAGCTGCGTCAAAATCCCTGAAATACATTGTGTTATAATCACAATCGTTAAATAATAACATTATTATAACATAAGTCACTTACCACACTTCAAGGCACAATATGTCATTTTCCGGATCCTCCAGTGGTCTGAATGATAAATAATAAAAACACATGAATAAAATCGTAAAGTATATAACTTTTTTAAAGATTTTAAAACGGTTGTAAGATTCAGCATGAATTTATAATAAAAATGTTATATATTCAAATTACAGTTGATCTGAATTCTTTTGTAAATACAAAAAGACAAGTGACTGTTTTCACTTACAATTCAAAGTGTTCCTCCCAAATTGGACTGAGGGTACACGTTTTTACTGCGGTGTTGTACCTCCTGGTCGGTGCCGATTCGAGGTAAAGAGCGCAGAAAGGATCGCTTTTACCGTTGGAGTCTTTGGAGACTAATTCTTTGGCTTCGATCACTTCAACGTTGAGATGCAATTCTGGTGGCTAAACGTGAGCAACAAATTGCTTAGACGGATGTACAACAAAATCAGCGCACGTCAAAGCTGCTATAGTCACCTCGAGACTTCGTGTTTCCTCCAACACTCTCTCGTGTGTTTCGTTGTCGATTTTGAAAGCACTCTGTAAATGATTCAGAAGAGCTTCCTGACTACACTCGTTGGACACGTCGAAGCCAATTTGATGTTGAGCCATACGCACCAGGGCGGCATAAAGTTCCTCGATCTAGAAATAGCGTAGCAAACATAACATTAATTGCAAGGTAATTGCACAATTCTGTCGAGAGTATATATACACAACAATACGATACATTTTATCATCTGATAGTTGGTATTAAAGACCGGTTAATATTTTGTGTATGTCGGTTTGTCGAATATGACTCTGTGATAATGCTTTTAATTGGCACGTTTATTAATCTTGCACGACAATACTTGTCGATAATATAAGAAAATATCAAGCGTTGTTTTTGGAATTCTGTTGAAAACGTCACTGTCGAGTCAGCGTACAAAGTCTTCACTCTAAATATTCAAGCATATTTCGTCCAAATTGTATGCAAATAAGATATGTCTTGACCTTTGACATTAAGAGTTTAAAAAGTAAAGAAATTATTAAACGAAAGAAATAGAATTATTATTAAAAAATTAAGAAAATGGCAGGTGCTGACGGGCTATATAAATAAGCGAGAGGAAACGAGTATGAAAATCTATGACAGACTAATTAAACTTTCCATAGAACTGGCAATATCTGCATCAGCTACATCACAGGACGACGCGTAAACTGTTTTACATATTCTCGATATATTATTATTACTCGCGCGTAATTGCGATCGCCCAGGATATATCACCGACCAGACTCACCGTCATGGCTTGAAGGAGCGCAATGTTCCTACGTTCAATTTCAGCTTTCGGAATTCCGCAAAACGTATTCCTCATTCGATTGAGGGTGGCCGTCCCTATGGGCGGATTTATGCTCACCATGTTTAGCCTCATACAGTTCCTGTATACAGCCTCATTCACTCCCGAACTCGAGCAACGCTCACGAATATCGCGCCAGATCGTCACGCAGTTACGTCGCGCACATTTTAAAGTTTCCAGTTTTCCCACAGTTTTCTCGCGATACACGCTATTTGACACAGTTTTCATTACACGTCACAATTAAACCGTTTCCCTAGTTCGCGACACTCTGGCACTTTTCTTAAGCGAGTCGCCTCGAACAGTCCCAGCGACGATAATGGACAATAGATCTAAAGAAGAGGAATCTAGAGCGTCACGACAATGACCCGCGGAAGCGCAATACAGAAGATCGTGTTGTTAACAACGAACAATGACGTTCACGCACCAGTGATCCCGGTCTTAAGCAGACGTCGAACTTGTTCGTCACATTCGGTTCCCGCGTGAAGACAAAGAATTGTACGGATGACTTCGACGGATTTATTCCTGATGGACAACAGGTGAGATTACTGCTTTCACTGGAGATTATTTTCCGGAAGCGTTTTACACCCTACCGATGACACCAACGACAATAGAGACGCAGAGAGAGAGGGAGCCGATTTGTCGCGGGCGCGATCGACGAATTTCACCGCTGCATTAAACGAACTTTGTCGGCCAACGATGAACTCCTACAATGACCACGACCTTTCTTATCGACAACGCGCCGACTCGTCGCATATTCGATAGCGCGTATGCATAATCGGCAGCAGTCAATCGTACCACGCATAAATTGTGACACTATTCGCTATCAACGGACTATGACATAAGCGTGCAATATTACACTAACCGGCCAGAAGGCAGGATAAGATTATGGTCGTTAATAAAGTTCATGCTGTAATCATAATAAATGTGATTTTATTTTTGTATGATTCATGCATGTGAATGTAAAGGAGACAATTATCAAATGTGTACAAATAATTAATAATCGATTAGTAACGTATTCTGTTGAAATCAGCAAATTTTTTTATATTTTGCATACTCCGCCACTCACAAGAGTCTTTTAATTTCTAATGAAGGTTACGAAGTTAACGATAGCACGTGAAAAGGTCAGAATTAGGACACAACCTTCAATATCAATGTCCACTAGCGAGTAGAGTTGGCAAGCGTAATTGACTCTGACAGTGAGATTCAGTTTATGTTACATTTCACGGCTTGAAATGTTGTTGATGCATAGTTTTTCCTCGAACAAATAAAACACTTCGAGATTAGAAAATGTTTAACATGCATTAACAGCTCTCCATTATTTTCTACCGCATCGCGAATCTCTTTTGCAATGATATTTTTCATTTCTTTTTTTCCACGATACGCGGAAAGCAAAGTGCGAGACTATGAGATATCATAATTAATTATTTGAAAAAATGTGGAAACCAGTAGCGAATCTGGACAGAGAAGAACTGTGTTATATCCCGTTTAGAATGACCCACGAGACAAGTGCAACCACAATGCGTTCATACGTTCGTACAATTGCGTCCAATGAAAGTTGATATACCGACAATTAGCTCATTGGCCACTAAGGCGCATCAAGACACCCGTTGTATGATAAACGGAACGTGTGAATGCTTGAACATGTTTTCGTCCTTCGTATCCCGTCCCGGTCTAATTTTCTTTGAATTATGCAATTTCGAGCTGGTCCAACTCCACGCCCACTCTAATACCAATTCTATTTTTCGACGAGGATGAGTCCGTTTAAGAGATATGCCGGTTATTTGGTGTACCGCGACGTCATTGCGATTATTCCTTTTTGTCGTGTTAATGTGGTTGTACGATTTATGGTGTGTCATGATTTATAAAGTCTTCACAGATGCGCAGATGGACAGATGCGTTATGTAGAGTTATCCGACTCGTATCCGACGAGGAATTTAATGCGAACATTTAAGACTTAATTACCGCGCGCGCGCGCGCGCGACAAAGGATTTAATAATCTTAATAATCCAAGACTGTTTCATACACAAGATGTATGAGAGAATAGATATTTATACACGTTATATAATAATGGGAAAGACAATAACATATGATTGTGTGAAAAAATTGTCTCTAAAAAGATGGAGAACTCACGAATACACTAAACGCAATGTCACTAATTATTTAAATTATATACATAGTAAACAATACGATTGCTATTAGTTGAGAAACGATATTTAAATTTAGTTTGGTTGCGGTCATTGAAAGCGCGTGACATTACCATTCGTGACGATTCGATACGTTTTTAAACTACGTCTCTGACAATTTGCCAGTTTTTCGAGAGGCTATTGGACAAAGTAGAAGAAAGCGGCTTAACCCAGTTTTTCAAATAACGACTTAATTTTACGATTTAACAAGTACTGAAAACCGGACTGCATAACTCGTGACTGCGCTAAGTTGCTCGAATGCTAAAAAATTATATCCATATTACAAATATTATATGCATATCTTTGAATATATATACGAATTATAGAGTTATATCAGTTGAGACTGCTTAATTGTTTCATTTATTTTTCACACATAATATTTTCAATTTTTATCAAATTGTCAGAGTTTTGTATTACAGTTTAATTTTAATCTTCTTGTTTGGAATACTGACGTTTGGCTCGTAACGTTGGTAAACATTACACTCATTTTTATATTAAATATTATAACAAAGAGACAATGCTAACAATTTCATCGATAAGATCAATTCACATTCACAGTGGTCATAGGATCACAACACATAATAGAACTCTGTTTCACCAAACTACGTTCGAAGCACACACTTCTTGCGTAACTCACCGAAGGTCTTTTCATGTATTAAAACAGAAAATTGTTAAATCAACGAGGAAAGTTTATATAATTTTTCACCAATCAGCTGAACGATTTGTCAATCGTAAGTAACGAAGAAGTACACCGCGTTTTATCGTCTGGGAACCACCTGTCGCAGGTACATTGCAAGGATATCTGACTGACAATCCGGTCGGTTGAGAAGCAATTAGCGACAAAACTAGAGAAAGTGGTCAGGATAACCAGAGTAAGGCAACAAGACAGGAACTTGACGGAGGCGAGCACTACACTGCCAGGAATAGATGGACCGACGGATCAGAGTCGTCGTACGTCGACTAGATGACTTCGTAGTAGTGTTACGTTGTACATTTGCTAACGCACGAACACGTGGATCTCATTTCCGATTGAGTTTAACTGCTCGATTGAACGTAGAGTATAACACCCCGGTATACGGAGGGTGTACATACGGATAATATAATTATATCGTATTGTCCATGTTTCTGATGGGCAAACTATCATCGTATATCATACGTGAATCATACGCGGCACAAAGAGGATGTCAAAGTGAAATTGTTTCATGAGTCGAGTCTCAATTTCTTCCGCAACTTATTGAATCCGCATTTGTTTCGTTTGATTGTTTTGATAGCACAAATATTATAATAAATTCTACGATTTTTTATCTTTGTTAATTGCATTAAAATATTTATTTCACCGACGTAAAATATATAGAGTGCGATACTGCGTTTTAATACGACGACGATCGTTTTGTATCAAAGTTCAACTTTAAACTTCTCGAATGAACGACTGATTCTTGAATCAATAAAAATTTATTGGGACACTTTATCGAGCATAATATTGCACGAGGAATAAATTATAGAAACGCGCGGATGAAAGAATATATTGATTTTGCAGTAATGAATTTCAGGCAATTAAATCATTTACGAGATCATAAATTATAAATAATACAATATTCTACTATACTTTCGTGTGTGTCGGATATAATCTGCATGTGCTTGATCAATGTAGAGGATTACAGCCATAGGATATCGTGCAAACAACTTTAACGTGTCAGCAAAATGTTTAATCAATTTCAGACTTACGCATTTTTCTTCGCTTTTAGTAAAAAGTGGTTCGTTGAATTTGACCAACCGCATTATTCGATATCGAAAGGAACAAACTCAATGATAAAATTAAAATCGTCGAAGAAAATCATGGCAGTGTTTCAAGTAGCAACGCAAGTAAACGTCTAACTTCCACTACCCTTCGTATCGGTCTGAGACCTTTGGAAAAATCAATATCACTACCGTTACCATCACGTGGCAGGACATACAACGATATATAGAAAATATGAGGTTTCGATCCGACGAGCAGGAGCATGAATCATAAATATCTATCGTGCATACCTGCAAGGATTATTATTATACTACAATAGCCCGGGGGTCCATAAATAAACGTTTCAAAGATTGTGCATAACACTTTTTATAAAACAATGTTTATGGATTTTAAGATAAAGATATTACAATATCGATATCATAGTCCTTTAAAATTAATAATTTTATTATGTTCTGATTTTTAGAGGTTATTTTAATGCCGTTATTTTTAACAATGAATCTTCTTATTAGTGAATAATAAATAATTTCGATCAGTTTTTTCAGCCGTTTATATATTAGAAATATAGATTTCCAATTACGCCATTGAAATCAATTTCTTCGTTTTAATACAGCTTTGATAGAGTTAATGTAATTATCAGACGAAAGCAGTTTCCCATGTCGGCGAACCTGTTTCGAATTATGCGATGTAAGTAAACGCGTTATTTAAGTTTCTTCCGAATTGAATACGGCTATTTCGATCTTGAACAGACCACCCCTTATCTATTGACGTAGGCGATGCGGTATGAAACTACTCGAAGTATTTTCAAGCAACACTCTGCGCGCTGTTAACGCGTGAGAATTCGTTCTCTCATCGGGAGTGATCGTTAATATGTCGAACTATACGATGAAACAAACTATATTGAAATAAAATCTCAGCAGGAAGCGAAATAATATCATTTCTAAAAAAACCTTGATCAAGATTATGAAACCATAGTTAAGCATTAGAAATATCGCGTTATTATGATTTAATAATGATTTAAAATGATGATAATGGCGTAAAATGCAATATTTACATTTAAGCCCATCGACTCGGCCACGAAATTTCGAGCATGCTCATGTTCATCTCTGTCGCTGTCGGTTTCCAGCAAGGCCTCGGTCGGTTCATCGATGCTGCCTTCTTCGCTCAAGGTGTCTTCCTCTTCTTGCGTTTCATCCCTCTTTTTAGGAAGCGGACCTTCTGCCTGTTCTTGTGCGCGAACTCTTTCTGCGAGTAGAGTGCCGAGATTTTCGAAGAAGCCGCCATCTGATTCTTGTATCCTAAAAACATATATTACTTTAGATTAATAACAGATCTAGAACATTATTTTTGAGAACATTTACTATAAAATTCTACATTTTCGGGGAATACTTTTATAAAATAAAAAAGTTCTTCTATTTTATAAAATATCGAGCTAGAAGATACCTATATATCTATCTTAAACGTAATTATATACATTTAAGAGACGCAAAAATATATAAATACAAAATACAAAAATACATATTATATATACTTCAAACTAAATATTTATTCAGTGCATTAACGAAACGTTTAGGCAATATTCTATATACTACAGTGCGCAAATAGATTAAGATCTAAGTAGATGAAGCGTGTATACAGTGCTCAATACTTTTACGTAGGTGTAACATTGAATTATTAAACACAAAGCTCGTACAAAATAGATCATATACGCGCATACACGCACACTCACGAAACATGTTATTTCACCTTTGGTTAATAAAATTGAATGCAGCAAATTTCCAATAGAATCTCGCGACGGTTACTTCTTTTGTTTCAGGCTTTTGTGACATTCGTGCAGCCGCGATCACATAGTAAGGATGCTTCTCGTCCAATTTTTCGAAATGCGCCATTATCCTTTTCTTAGTCCTTCAGCAAAAACACAAGATGTCTTCGAATAAAAATTCATGCAGGAGAAACCACGTTACGTAGTCGAGCGAGAAATATTCTCGTCGCTTACTGCTATCCTCGATTTTTATTTTTATCCACGATTTGAACTTTAACCCTTGTAATTTCAGATTGGAATGCAATGTAATTTTAGAATCGTCTTTTTGAATTCGCACTTTGGATACATAACAAAAATTCATAAAGAAGAAAGTTCAAGATATTGGAAACTAAAGAAATGTATAAGTGCTATTTTAAATATTGTTGACGGAAACGTGGTTACGACGAAGATTTAAATGTATCCTTTATATAAATGTCCGCACAAAATTCAACCGCACTTTAACAATAAATCTCTGTTGCAAAACACAGCAGCTCTTCCGATGGAAATACAATGCACAATGATATCAGCAAGTATCACTCCGAATAAAACTCTTTATGCAATTTGACGTTCAAAAGTCAATTCTAACGACTGCAACTCAACAACTACTTGTCGTATGGGCTCACATACATTTCCGTAAACTGGTCCGTTTTTGAGATCACCAAGTTCCCTTCTAATAAACTATATATGATTTTGTTCCACCTGCTTCGTACACAACGGCTTCGTACACACTGATTGTCGCAGTTTTAGAGTGCAGTCATATAAACCGGAACTTAATTGCTTTCCTGTTACGTAGACGGAATCCCACACGCGCACTGAATAGCGCCCGAGATTCCCACGATCGCGAATTATACGATCTCGCGGCCTACTTATTCCACGAAATTAATTGGCTCGTATCAGGCTTGACGTGTAGCTTTCGGTGTCGATGAAATGTGAACAGGCTAGTCTCTGTCTCTCCGCAAACTGCATAAGGAATCGGGTAACAGGTAGGAGACTGGCAGGTAGGAGGTACCAGGACGTATTCGCGGGCCGTTACACCAATAATTCGCATAGGCGTAAACAAAATTTTTCGATGAATATCTATAACGAACGCTTTGCGCGAACCTTACCTTGTAAAATTCAAGTTCACTTTATCTCAATGGATGAATCAAAATATAAAAAGATACGATAGTCAATCGAACTTAAATTAAGGAGAAATAGATTTTAAATAAATTAAAGGATTTGCGCTTTGGTTTTTCATTTCATTACTGCAATGAATTGAGGATTTACGTATACATATAATTTGGCCAATTATGGATAATTGATTCAAGAAGGATTCAGGTAGGATTTTAAAAATTCTACAATTATAGTAACAACGCAAATCTTCAAAGAGATGTTTTATTAAACACGGTTTTTACGTAATATAACAGGATGTTATTAACTTACTTAAACTCCCAGGCTTCAATTCTTTAACAAATTTTGTGTTAGCTGCTCTTACACTATCTTTCTTATCTGCAAGGAATGTATGAATATATTGTGCCAACAATTTTAACGTCTGCACGTGAAAATTATACGATATCAGATAAACGATGAATTTTACGAACGAGAGATAAGCAAATTAATTTATAACCTGTACCAAACAACGACGAATAAGCTCGAAGTGTGAGATTTATGTTTCCCTATTTGCTGATCATCAGATCATCTATTTCAAGAAACGAGTCACGTATTCGCATCAGAGCAACAGGAAAACTTTTTGACTCATTTCATTTTCAACCAGCCATCATTAATAATTGTGATCATGTTTTTTTCTTATTTGAAAGAAAAAAGAAATAAAGAAAAACAGTTAGTTATATCAATCGGTCTTCAATTAATGATGGTAGTAGTATAATTAAGTACAATTTAGTAGCCAAACTTTTGTCCAAACTTTTAAGTGCTTGTAGGGAGTTCGCACGAAGAGTAAGATGGGAAGTACGCTCTCGAATTACAGAAGCAAAAGGACAGAGAAGACATGTTCGCTGACTTGCGTCACTACTGCGTTCCTTTTTTCCTAGACGTTGCCACTGAGTTTTCCCGAGCCTCTTTTATTCTTGACTCAAGAGCGAAGTGATTCATGGTATCGCATGCCACTCGAGCATTCTGCAGTCGATAGTCGTTCGAAAAATGTATCTTGTTTTATTTTTCTTCGCCATCTACTTTTAACCACTTACGGTACGTTTCGCTGTATGTCTGGCTGTATATACAGCTATGCTGTTAGTCCGATCTTTTGCGCAATCTATAATATATGAAGCTGGAGTGTTGTTTTGCAAGTAATAAGCACAAGGTCTATTATGATGTAAGTCGTAGGAAGCCTTCAATAAGATGGACGGTCTCAAAACAATATTACAGCCTGGAGCGTCCGTACTTTCAATTTTAAACTAATCGATACGGTATATTATATATGACGTAAATGCGATCCACGTATTGCTTTACCAATAATCAATAACTATGGATTAAATTTGCGAATTGTTCAAAATGTTATTAATATTTCGCGCATAAACGAAACGTCAAGTTTGAAAAAAAAAAAAATTTATTTTATTCCAAAGTGTGCGTTAATTATTTATGACAACGCGAAATTACGCAATCCGTATCAATAGTGTACAAAAAATATCTTCACTCGAGAGGAGTTCGCTTCGGCTTCGCAAGTATCACAGAGCACGCTAATCGATTCCACAAATATTGGCGACTGTTCGACAAACGTACACCTGTGCCCACGACATTAGTGGGGATCTTTGTCCCGATAATATCAAAGAGCCAATTGATGCCGTGATATCCATGGTTCTGCTTGGCCGTTCACCTAAAGCGATGATCTAAGGCGCCATTCCCCTCTTCATTCGTCACTTCGTTTTTACTCGACAAGGAAATCTTGAAGGGGATTCCCTCGTGTGCTCCGACGTGACGCGCGCGGTATTTTCGCAGCGGCATATCGTTAAATCATGGGGAGTTGTAGGGAATATGGCAAGAATACAAGAGACAATTCTGTTTAATAAGTGCGTGTTTCTATTTTGGGATAATAATTTTTTATCTTTTTGAATTGCAATTTCTATCATTTATTGTGACATAATAGGTGATAAACAGTTTCAAATGCGCGCATCAATAAAATATTTATGTCGATGTAATCGGCTCGCATCCGACAAAATTTCGTTACGGATGAACGATTTCGTGTCGTGCATGCTAACGACTGCAGTTAATTATCTCTTACAAAGACGTCGGGAGATGCTTGTGAATCATATAGCGTCGCGCCGACCTTGAGCACCAGATCCCAGCATATACATATAGCATGTATACATATAGTTTTACATACACATTACGTATATAGCTCGGACTTAGTCGCGACGTATAGTCCCACCTCTGATGCACCATGTTGATCTCATTCTATTAATAGATCCTACATGAGCACCCGGCTACGTAGAATTTAATTTAATGTTTCGCTGATTTGTTTAAGAGCACCTCGTTTGTCACGGAGCGTTATCATCGATCGCGAAAATTACGAATATATATGCAGAACTCAGCGTTACCGACTCTTCAGTTTCATGTCAAAAATAGAATTTTCTACCATGTTGTGTGTGTGTGTGTGTGTGTAAACTCATCTTGTTTTTTTTAGATATTGTTATCATTGACGTGGCACCATTTTTTTTACATATTCATTTGTGCAATTAATACGTAAAATTTCCGTTCCCTTTTAAATTGTAATTTTAGTTGGTACTTAACGTCTTTAACGTTATTGCGACACGCTAGAATTAAATTGATTCACAATTTTTTACTCGTATTCTTCACTTGTTCAAGAGGTTCCATGTTTCTCTCGATATATTTTTTATTATGTCTAAGGTGTTTTTGACATACCAAGATCACAAGTGTTATCATACTTGAAACGATATATTTGAAGTTAATTATTGTTGTGAGTAAATTTACTCTTTCTGATAAATAATTATTATATATTAAATAATCACAAATATCTTACAGTATTTTTTGTCGAATTACAAAATTTGGGACGACCAGAAATCGACGTAACGAGACATGATTTTGACATTCCTTTACCTTGTCTCGTGCTCCGACTTTTCTTGTTGTTCATTCTCTTTCGCTTGCTTCTCTTCCACAATTTTATGATAAAAATCTTTCCACATGGTTTCTTCATCCATCTTCGCACCTCAATCTCACCGGTAATGTCAGAGAACACTTGTCCGAGTGCGACCTAATATTATTCTACCGGATGAGTACCGTTATCCTACGCGTGCGACTATTTGACAGTTAACTGCGTGACACTTGCGGAGAATTGCATACGTATGTTAATCGCGCACTCGGAGGAATATTCTTCGCTTACTAAACTGACGTACAGAAGGAATTTCAGTGCGTTTCGCAACGAAATGATGCCGGCTGGAGTTAAGGTCGATGTAGGTGCGACTAGCGTTCCATTTACTCGTGAATAGATTCAACATTCACAAGAATTTTCTGACTTCCCGGTAGATGGCACCTAACATCAGACCATAGAAAGCCTCCTCTTTTCTCTTCTTTATCCACTGTGCATATCTTACAAAGCTCGGAAGATTTATATAATATCACAACTTTATCTTTTGTATACCTGACTATATTTTGTTTATGAGAAAATATAATAACTTCTATTAAAATTAGTAATACTGTATTGAAAATATCTTTTTTATATATTGATAGTTACATGAACAAATTTAAAATGACTATTTAATACAAAATAGATTTTATCAATATCATTGAATCTTTACTTTGTTATTTATTTGACTTTTCGCTTTATTTATGTTTTTGATTCAAAAAGGCTAAGGAGTGAAAGAATAGGACAAAATGCAATAAAATACCATTAGAAATTAGAATTAATGTTAGAACTTATGTATTAATACACAGAAGAGATGCTTTGCTTGATTCTTTTAATACGTGGCTTATCTTATATTTATGATGTCAGATAATTAAATACAGTAATGCGTATCACGAGGTGTGCAGACGTATAAATGACTCAACATCTACGGATTTTATTATGTCATCTCGATGATATCATTTGTTCTTCATATGATCACTTTGTTGACCATATTAATGTTATCACGGAGTCACTAATGCAAAACCGTTGTAATACGTCAAGTAAACAATAGAATATTTTACATCGCGTGTGTCGTAATTCTCTTACGCGTGTCGGATCAAATTTTATCGCAAAAACTTTGATTTAACTCTCTCTTGAAATATAAGTCAAATAATATTTATGTGGCAAATATATTTTTTTCTTGTGAAAATTAATAATTACTAATATAACGACACTGACACAGCGTTATATTCAATGTAGCAAGCACATATATCATATAAAATATATGACTCTAAAGAGTATATCTATAATAATATTCTCATCATCGATAACAAAAGCAAACACATAGGCAGTTGATAGGAATTTCAATTCTGCTTAGATATTTTGTAGCCATATTTTATAATAAACACCACACAACAACAACGTAAAGGCACAATATTGCTAATTTTAGACCAGTACCTGGGTGGAATTGATTCCTGGCAAGCTGCTGTCGAGACTGGCGTCGCGATCGTAGCATTGCTCGAACGCAGGCGCCGCGTCGATAGCCGTCCTGCTCGATACTATACATGTGTCACTGCGAATGTGTTCCAGCATGGCGAAACATCAATAACATTTTTGTCGCATCGTAACATAAAAATTACTTAGTTCCCAATTGTCTGTGCATCGAGCAGTTCTTTTTTTCCAGATAGCTGATAATAATTATTGCTTCGTATATTTTCAACATAACTTTTTTCCACTATCTCTGTCACATTTACGAGGTGATATTAATGTCTGCTCAAATGTATGCATAAATTTTCCATCTTTTGCGATATACATTGACGCGAGGATCATAATGAGATAAAGCCAGCTAAATTTAAAAGAAGTATTTTGCCGTTGTTCCGCATAAAATGTATGACTTACGTCTAGAATCTATATAAAAGTGAATGATCTAGTAAAATGCAGTTCGATCTACAACATGAGTTGTAAATTGATTATATTTTTTCTGTACTTCGGTAAGCAAAAGATACATCATTTAACTCCATATCCATGATAATTAAATTCATTATCTATAATTATGTCTATTTCTTTCTAATCTTAACGATAGGAGCCATTTTATTTTATGTAAAAGCGAATCGTACTTATCAAGACGAGACACTATACGTACGAAAAATATCTCGAAAGAATGAATCGGCTGCTGAGACTTTCGTCCTACTGAATCCGAGACAGATTCAACGTGCGGAAGCAACGATAAAGGATTTCCTGGAGAGATTAATTGGACCAGTTGTTCAGCCGATAACGCTGAGATTGTCGTCTCCCGATGGAGGCAGTTTACAGAAGACAATCAGTGAAATTTGTGTGACTATACGAACGAAAATGATGGAGTTGGCGCAAGCCCTTGGATTGGTCGTATCGATTCGTCAGCACGAGCAGATGTCATGGAACTCTACAACCTTGGATGATTGGTTTTCCGAGTCTCTGCTTCAAAGTTCGCTTCTACTATGTGATCTCTTCAGGGTAGGAGAGGAAATCTGGTTTACGATTAATCATTATCTCGACATGAATAACGTGACGTTACAAGAAAACGAGGTAAGTTTGCGAATGTTAAAGGATGGAACAGGATTGTGTCAGGTAATCAAGACGTACACGTGAGCGTGATTTTTTCTTGTAATCTAATAAGATATTACATCTAAAGATTCACTTTAGGAATCATCACCACTCAAGACAACGAAAAGCTTTAAGTTTTTAAGCGCTATAAATGACGCATTCAGTTTCAACGAAAAGTTTCTCAAATGTTTACTGCCGTCAACAAACAAGGGGAAACGGGCATCATCTTTCGATGTTAATCGAGTTTTTGCAAATTTAGCAAAAGGTCCGCCGGATAGCATAGTAAAATCACTGAAGACTGGCTTAAATCGAGTTTTCGTTCATAATGCGCCAAGTAACGAGACGCCTAATGAACGATTGCACACCCTGCTTTGTCGTTCATTGGTGGAAAGGGCCAGTAATTACAACGATTGCGTCAAGGAATTGCGACGTGTCAAAGCTTGCGTGTCATCAACAAGGCGGGACTCGACCGAAATAATGGTTAACCATACACTTCATGTTAAACCATGGTTGACCGCTATCGAAGACCTAAGTAGCTGCAAGATTTATATTGATACGGACTCTAGCGCGAGCGTCCGCTGCAATTTCAATCGAAGAGTGCCGCGCACGACGGTGCAGCGAATGAAGTATATTTACGAGAACATTCTGGACCGCCGAATATCTCGACGGTCACCTCTTCATCATGCCGCGAACGAACTGGGAAACGTGTTTTCTAGGAGTGGATGGGGAAGACAATTAACGTACGACGTGTGTCAGTATTTTGAGATTTATCGGGAAGGCCGTAAGAGATTGAATCGAATTTCGAGGCAAGCTGTTAGGGATAAGACAGCGGCTACGAGGTAAGTACACGAAAATGAGTTGCACAAGAAATATGAATATGGTAAAAGTACTCGACGTAGATGAACTGGACGAACGCAATCCGAATGAGTTAAGAGCTATATATAATAAGAGCTTAGATAACGGCTCGACCGGTCTATCTGCATCAAGCGCTATTACTGAAGCATATATCCGATACTATTTGACTAATCAAATATGATGTTAGACTAATTATGTAAACTTCATTGTTTAATTTCATAATATATTCGAAAATTATTAATATTTTTTAACTGATGACTTTCTCTCACAGATCGATAAATTTACATAGACACATATTTATATTTTTAGGTACAATAAGATACATAATTCACTGAAATTATATAAAAACGGAGTATTAAAGAAAACTATGCTCGCTGTTGTTAACTTTCATCGTTCCGCTTTGGAGACACAAAGATTCCTTACTCGCGGTATCGAAAATTCTTTCAACGAGAGAATTCTGTTCCCCATTAAAATCCTAATCTCCTTAGCTGACATAGTACTTGGACTCATGACATTATTTGGCGGCAGAAAATTAAATGACATTGAGGATGTCGACTTACCGATTCCTACCAACGTTCCACTAATTAACATGACAGATTTAGCTAGCGCAGAGACGAGTGACTATTTTCACGATAACAATAGGAAGATAGCACATCTTGTGATACATCGTGAAAAGGGTTGTTAGTACTTGTCTTAATTATTTCATACAAGATGCTTTGCTATACTATTTATAAATTTCTTATCTTTGATTGTTTTTAAACTACTACTAAGCTTACTAAGTTTTTAAACTTACTAAGAAAGAATGCCTTACGTTCAAGTAGTTCTAACAAATATCTCTTTCTCATTTTCAACATAGAGTTATATTTTCGAATTTGTGTGGAAGAATTAATTCACAATCAATTGATATGCGCGATAGCGCACAATTATGTTTCTAATTGTATATATTATTACAGATATAAGAAAAAAGACCGATAATGCGTTCGAGAAATTAATGCAGTCGATGAATCGTGCAAGCAGAATGCAAAACGACAACAGTAAAAGCACTTTAGCGTGTCTTGCGAATAATTTACTATTGGTCACTATGTTCATGGAAACTATTAGTTTTGTCTCTGCATTGTTTTGCTTGGAAAAGCCTAAAAATGAGTCCGAGCCTGAAGAATCTAAGGAAGATTGGGTTTCACCTAGACGTGACCGTAGATCATTATTTTTAACGGATTCTGCAGAGATTGACTCGATTAAACAAGATTCTTCGATGATGTTTAACGTTTCCGAAGATATCATTAATGTTTATAGCGAACAAAATACAAATCCTTCAATTGTCTATAGATACGATGAAAAAAAATTTATAATTTGACAAATACTATTTCAAGAGATACAAACTAACATAAAACTAAAATCAACACTGTCCATGTAATAGAAAGTATATAAATGTTATTAGAGTTGGAAAACTAATTATGCGCATAATAAAATAATTTCTGTCAAAGTAAGGGTCCATACATGTGGGTGTAAAATTTCTATATAATATAAAATATATATCACCTAAAAGAGGGATTTCTTTTCTATAAATATATATCACCTAAAAGAGGGATGTCTTTTCCAAAACTTCCTCCTATAGTTACTAATAAGTATACGACTTGCCATGATAAGAAATGACAAATTTCAAATTATCACTTCGCTTATACGTCATTTACATAAATCACGTTCAATCTAGACATTGTTGTGATAGCGCAACCGACGATAGTATCAGCATTTGTCTCGGTTAAATGTTCACGAAATATGACATGTCTGACGTTTACAGTCACCGCGAAATGGATTGTCACACTTTACATATGTTCGTCCGCATCGTATTGTGACACAGTCGGGAAAAATGCACGGAGCAGTCGTTATTCTCTATTTCCTCGGTATGAAGAGCTATGCGCATTCTATGTATCGTTAATAATAGAATAAGTTAGTTAATTTTTTTCATTGCTAGTTTTTATTATGTATTTCACAATAATACGTCGAAGTAATAATCAAAGAATAGCCTCTTTCATTATTTCTAGCATAAGTTTCAGCAACGCATTATTTACCGTTTGTCCTGCACATTTTAGTCTTTCTGCTTAATAAAATAGACGGGCATGCGACATACAAAGCGCATCCAAAAGTTATCGGTGGAGAATCAGTCGGCATCGCACATCGTCCTTTTATGGTTAATATCATGTATTGCGTCACTTTCGTCAATGTCTTAATATAACACATTGATTCATCAATATTCTCTAAAAGTGACGATATTTGCAGCTCTCTTTACGCAGTTCGAGTAGATTTTTGTGCGGTGCCAGTATATTATCGAAGACATGGGCCATCACAGCTCTTCATTGCTTGTAATTTTAATATTTTGATACATCATTAATATCTTTAACATCATAATTATATACCACTCTAACTTGATGGACACTCTTACTATATTGAGCGTATAAAATTGTTTTCTATAATTTTAATGCTTGGCATATTATTTTCGAGAACGTCACGGCGAGCGAAATATTATATACGCGCTGGATCCAATAGATGGAATAGAGGCGGATCTATGCACAGGATCAGAAACATTCATATATATAATGACTCGTACATCAGTCCGTTTATACCGTATCATGATATCGCACTTTTTGAAGTAAAACCACCGTTTCGCTTCTCGAAGACCATTCAACCGATCCATCTACCAAAATTAACCGATGAGACACCGCGTGAACTCTTCGTATGTGGTTGGGGAAAAACTGATATCGGAAAGGAGGTGAGTACGTTTAGATTTTCTAGTATCCAAGAGATTTTACGATACTTTAATTTTGCGTTTACTTTGTATTTAACACTTTTGCTTTTATATGTAAATTAATAGCTGCAGGAACACAATTGTTCGACAGATATCAGGAGATATTTGCATAAATATTTTATACTATCCATGTTTCTTAAATATTATTTTAATCTTTATTGAGAAAGATATCGATTCATTACAGGTAATAAAAATGTAAAACGCATTATTTAATGTATAAATTTATAGGCAAAACTATCGGAAACTCTCATGGGCGTTCACGTTCGACATGTTCCTTTCGAAATCTGCGTTAATTCCACGGATTATACGCTCGTCCGAAACGTTCATTTGTGCTATGGAACTGAAGGTAAAGATGCCTGTTTCGGAGACTCCGGAGCAGCGTTGGCCGATACAAAAACAATTTACGGTATCGTGTCTTATGGCGAGTCTTGCGGAATAGTGCCTGGTGTATATGCCAATGTATCACATTATCTAAAGTGGATTCAAAACGTCACGAATTTATGATTCTACATATTTTCTCTTTCTGATTACTCTTACGAGTCCTTTTAGCACTAATCAATGGACCGTTAATAGTGGAATAGGATTTTAAAAATCTAATCGATATTTACATATTTTATATAACTTCTAATGATAATTCTCTCACAGTGAATAAATTCGCAATTGTTAGAAACATACGTAATTTTTTCCGTACAAAACATATCGTAATAATTCGCTGAAATAATCAAATAAAAGTTTATGTCATCTGCACTTGTATTGTCTGAAAACATAGAAACAAACCCGAGAAGATTATTCGACACGTTGCGCTGATGAAAGTCCTGTGTTCCTATCCGGCAGGTTGAAAGTATTGTGTATTGTTTTCAAGAGAATAGACACGAAAGGCATACCGAATCACGGAGTCGTGAACCCTCTTGCGTTCAGGTCCGGTGCGTACAGGAAATTCACAACGTGTACAGGCTACGCAAGAGTGTCGCGCACGCCTGCACGCGGCGCACGTAGTTTTCGCTCGTGCAGGGCCGAATGACAGGTATACGCGATTATTACTGTGATATACAAATATTTGGACTCATGTAATAACGAGGTTTCCCATAATATGCAGTATTAAAACCGAAGACAACAATGTAATGTTTTTTATCTCTTTATTACATATATTAAAACGTTTGTTATTGGAATACAAATTATTTTTACGTTTGAAGTTATTTCATGTCAGCTGTTTTTTAAATTGTCATTTATTGTTTTGTAGTAAATGTTAATTATGAAACCTACTATTGCGTGAGACAAGTGAAAGCATCGCGTAAACACATACTTTTTTTACTGTTTACTCGGCCCTGCACGGGCGCGTGTTACTTTAAGCTACCATTTACTGGTATGACTCATCCACGCGTGTTTCCCTGCGTGAAGCGAGCCACTGTCAGGTTTTCCGCTGGCGCTTCCAAGGGTCTTTAAACTCCCCCCTGTCACGTGCAGTCTACCGAGTGTCTTCGTAGGAGACCGTGAGAAATGCATTATCGCAATGGAACATCCGTGACATTCGAATGTGTGGGCGGTCAGATTACTTTTGCCGACATAACGTTATCAATTTATGATAAGAAAGATATCTTTACGCAATATAAGTGAATTATTTAACAAATTGGAGGAGTGTTTTTAACCATTTACGCGCTTTGTTACAATAATAGCAAAGAAAAAGTTTATATGAAAGATACGTTGTACACTCACCCATCGATCGCTAGAGGATAAACTTTCCTGCGGCAATTTTTCAAAATCTCGCGGCGAATTTTTAGAAACCAAGCTGTGCTGCACTTAGGACTACAGTACTTCTTCATGACATAACCACTTCTCATATTCTCAGCGATATCATCGTAGTCCACATATTCCCAGTTTACATCTCTCAATTTCGCAGGCGCTTCTTCAGTCGATATCAAGATGTATGAATCTTGCGAGCCCGTACTGGCGGATGAATTCGATGCTCTGGCCTTGTCATATTTCTTCTCTCTCAGGTCCACATCTGGATCAAGCTGGGTGTCAGTCATAATCGATAGATTCTTGTTAGTTAAATATTCTTCTTTACAGACGTTGGGCGATGTTTCTATTCGTTCTATGTTCGTCTTGCTCCTTGAAAGTTTCTTCGACCGATTTTGCGACGAACACTTTTTGCATTGAAACCGTAATTTTATCGGATTCGTCAGCATGGTTGAAATCACTGCAGTTTGATCGTGAACTACGAATTACTTTCGCCGATGCATCTTTACGAATCTCCGATATACAATAATTTCTTTCCAAGTCCGAACTTTTGTACTGACGCACACTTATAAATACATGCGCTACTTTGGCGCATGAGACACCGATAATCTTTCTATCGACGTTATTTTATGATAATTGGCAACTGCACGGTATTATACGATTTAATAACGTCATAGCACTTGGGATCGCTCGACTAACATCGTTCATTCCGTATGCGACCCCTACGAAGGAAAAAGTAGCACTGAACAGTCTCCATGCCACCAAGTACCCATGCTCGCTAACCGGGGATACCCGGCTGATTATGCACGCGTATATCAAGAGGAGGGGTGTTCGAGTTCACGAATGTTTTGCTTCTTTATAAGTTAGTACGAAACAATGCTTTTACAATATTCTAATGTTTATTACTAAATGCAGCAATTACTTTTTTGATACTAGTGATCTTCTATAACAGAAATCTTTCTCTTTCTTTCCGGTAAGATATGATCCTTGAGAAATAATATAGAAGTTCGTCCTCTCTCTTTTTGGAAAATAAATTATTGTTTCAGTAAAAAGTCCTCTTAAGAGGATGTCTAGTTTGGGCAGTCTAAAAAAAGCGTTTATATTTTGTATTTTCGAAACGAATGTAATTTTTAGATCCATTTTTATTGCAACCTTTATTTGTTTTAATTACGTGCTCCTCAAGTTTGGCGACAACTTTTTTTCAACACCCTGTATAAGGTCTGTATAACCACACGAACAGAAAGAAGGAATAAGAACTACTACATAGATTTCTATTGTGTCCGCGTACTGAAACGCTGACATTACGGGAATTTACGGTTCTGATTTTCTACTTGCGTACCATCCGATAATTTCCTAATACTTAGTCTTATAATTTCGGTAATTATTCGAATTTTGAAAAGTTCTCTTAACACATTTCCTGCACTTCAAACTGTAATGAAATGCAAACAAAAATCGATCTTTTTCACCCAAATAAACTAAACACTCTCCTTAACTTATATTGTCACTTAATTATGTAAGGAAATGTATAACATTTTATTAAAATAATTTATAATAATTATATGGTATAATATGATTTAATATAATATAGATATCGTTAAAACCACGGCAATTAACATTTCAAATTACTACAAGTATGTGTGTATGTGTGTATGTATACATTCCAGTTATTTCTAAAATTACTTTTACTGGAAGATCCATATGCGTTAAAATTAAGTCACGGTGAATTCCCGTAAAGCATGCGCTACAAAGATAACAGGATTTCCCAAGGTTGGTGATATTGCGGTTTCCTGCATACAGTATTTATGTATCACTTCAAGCTATTCTTATACCTTACTAAACCAATTAATAAAACCATCAAGATAAAAAATGTGATATTATAATCATTGCAACATTTCCTCCGTGTTTATTTTTTACTTTTCCCTTAACGTTTTATCTTATACATATTTATCTTATATATTCTAATTACCGAAATTATATGAACTGTTCTATAGATAAAACAACAGATTGTATATATATATTGCACATTTTAAATTTATCTCGTTACAAGTTTATTTAATCCCGACAAGAGAAACGCACGATAATATTGTTAATATATTTCAAGAAAATATTCAGCTAATTATCATAACAGGTTCAGACGTGTTCACAGAAAATGAGTATTAATTGTTTTCATGAAATCGCGCAAGGCTACGAGCTACTCGCTCGTGTATAGATGTTACGAAGAAATTAATTAACCCCATTTGAACCCGTAAAAGTTGGCCCACGCACGTAGAATACATAATGTAAGAAGTTAAGTACTCGCTATAACTTTATGACACTACGAATTATATTGTGTATACTCAGCAGATAGCATTTAAGACGAATTTATAACTTTGATCGCATTATAAAAATTTGTCTGATTATAGTTTAACAATAACACGAGAATAATTTTATTTTTGAACTGACGTGTGTGTATCACGTCATTTGCTTTTTAAATAAATAAATGATACGTTATTAAGAAATGACTCAAGATATACTCACTCTATACTTGACAGATGAAGCAACGTTCGAATCGATTTTTCCGGCCTATCATGAAGCCCTTCATGATTTCGTATTTCGGTGCGTTTCCAAAATAGCCAGGAAGACATTTAGCGAATAAAATTCGACGCTGGACAAAGAGTGAAACACTTGTTCGCAATGTTCCGCGCTATTTTGCGCTCTCAGTGCAGGAAAACAGACAGAAATACGCGAGAATGTCGGGAAATTGATCTTACGCGTCGCGTTAACGTATAGTTACTGGCCATGCGACGTAGCGAGTATCGTGTTGTTGTGCAAAGAAATAAAATCTATCTGCATAGAAGCACATAATTGCGCTCGTGCAGTGTGCAACGGCAATTAATTGCACGCCTCGAATGCAACAAAAGAACGGACTCAACGGTCACGTTATGGACAGCACGGACAATATATATGCGCTAGTCGTTTCCGATAAAATCGTTCGATATTACCGGAAATAGAAATATCATTTCAGACGTTTCAATATAATTCCGCAATAAAATATTTTTTTTATCGTAACGTATCTCAGTATAAAACATTTAATAAGCGTAACGTAAAAACGTATTATTATATATTGATTGATTGTACTGATTAAATAAATAAATAAATATATCAACAAATGTCCAATACGTATGACAATGTACATTAATTAATTGACGAACATTTAATCTCACAAATAAAAGTTTTCTTTTATGATCTACTATATCGCTGTATGTTACCTCCTCTTTCAACTCCTCCTCATCAAGCTCCATCTATATTGTTCCTTTTTTCCTGTTTTACCTGGTACAGAATTTTTATTACTATACTCTTCAGTTGGTGGAAGTTCTAAACTTTGTTTGGTTTTCATCTAAATTACGCTGTATCCGCTCGTTACTGAATTTCGCGACTTATGAAAAGCCGCGCCATAACCCGAGCAATTTATAAGCGTTTTTATACTTGAACAGCCATCGTGAATAAAATTGAAATTTTCTCCCAAGATCTAATTTTGATATAATTAAGTTTTCTTTTTTACTATTTCCAAATGACAAAAAAGTCTTTATGTTTAAAAAAAAATTAAATTGTTGTTTGGGATGTCCGTGTAATGAATAACTGTGACGACAATTGGTTGATTGAAAATCCAATTTTGAGCTATATCTGGAAATTTCACCCGTATTCTGTACAGAGCTAGCGATATGTATGCAAGGATCACATTAATCATCCAAGTATTTCTTAAATGACCAATTACCGCACGGTGTTTACTTTATTCGCGTTTCTGAATAATTCCAGAAGGAACAATCCCCTCTTCGCCGTTCTCTCACGCAGTTCTTCGAGAAATGGCGCATAATTTCCATCCGCGTAATGAAACGTTAACTACTACATCATTAAAAATGAGCACGCGCTTACCGCCTTTCTTGCCCGATGACGCTATCATCTGCCCGAGATTATCTCCTTCGCGCTTAAGGAGCTCGACCCACCCCGCGCTCTGGCAACATCCGGTACATCCTCGCCGCTCGCGTTTTCACCCTCGTTTTCAGCGGATTCCGGGCGGAAAGCTCGGCCGGCCGGATTCACGGAGGTGGATTGAGACATGCCGGGGTGTGGCCGGGCCCAGGGATTAACCCCCGCTGACAGCCAATCATATCCGAGACAGCCCCACCAGGGAGATGACTGCGAAACCCTGGCTGAAACTGTCGCACTCCCTCGCCATCCCTCGCAACAACCCCCACCGCTAATTGCCTTGGCTTTAATATCGCATGTGGAATGAAAGCCGGAGGAGGAGGAGGAGGAAGTGAAGGAGGCAAGGGGAACCAAGGCAAGGTAAAGGGGCACGGGAAGGGTGAGAGGGTGATGGTAACGCGGGTTGTAAGGCAGCAGAATGCTGTAGAGTCCAGGAAGGGAGAGACTGCTTTGTATGTGTCGATCGCAATACCCACGTTCCTGGACTGTTCGGGGTTGAGAAAGGGTGGCGTGCGGGGGTGCGTACAGGTCTATGCGTTCGCGAATTTTACGCGCGCGCGAACACACCGCCGAGTCATAGATCATCGCCGATACGGATTCAATTTGGAAACAATAGATAGCGGCAGTTACTATTTACCGATGAAATTGATATTTAGTTGGTTAATGATCTTCCACGCTGCGTCCGGCAAATATCGTGGATCGGACGATCGACACGATTCTCGGCTTGATAGATTTACCATACCAATCGGCGATTGATAACATGAGGACTTTATGGACGCGACAGTCAATTCTGATCGTCGAACAATGATGCTTTCGGGTGCGCGACTTGGTTTTTGACACTTTTTACCGAATGATATTGTACTTGCCAGATAGTTCCAATTAGATATTTGTTATTGATGTTTTGATATTCTCGACATTCGTTATTTTATATATATTCACACTCTGTATAGTTTGAGTAGATGGTTTTACGAAAATAATTTGCTTTAATAATCAGTCGCGTTGGAAAATACCTTTTTATTGGAAAAATTTCCGTTGATTGGATTTATCTAGTCAAGCGTTTAGTCTGCGTATCGAACCGGAGTCGCTGAGGCGAATAGAAGTCTCGTCGGATCGTCTTTGTCTTATATATTGGCTCGTAAGGGTGGCTCTTATAAAGCGGAGCAATTATCCGGATAAAATACTCCACGAAATTTCCGTGATAAATTTCAGGCCGTAATAAGGGTGAGTCGCAAGTCATTTGGGCGACGATCAAGAGGGTGGGAGCGCGGGGGTATCGGGCTTCAATAGAAATTCTTTCGGAGCCCCTCTCTACGGCGCAGGCTACCATTTAATTTATACATTTGTCGCCAATTTCATTCGGCCTGGCTTCCGTCTTCCCCTTCAAGAACCTCCTTATCCGAAAGCTGATAATTACCAAACTAGGGAGCGTCGTGCAAATAAAGGCAGCGAAGAAGTTAACCGGGTAATGTACACGTCCTTTTCCAAAGATCTTTTTACAATCATTTCTGATGGTGGAATTACTACACCAAAATAACAATTAATTGTGATCTGATGTGTGACAAGCAATAAATTTCTCTGATACGCATATAGTGATATATTATTTTTTAATGAGAAAATGGCCTGAAAAAGTTAAATTATTGGATGTGCTGAAAATATTGACAAAAGTTTATAGGAAAGTTTGTGTGCAGTAAGAAATTACGATGCAATTACACTGAACCGTTGTCCGTAGGTTTGTGAAATAGTTAGAGAGTGGCTTAAGTAAATTTGGAATTTATAGCTCAATCTTAACTTCATAATGGCTTCCTGAGCGTAAAACTTTTATCAAGGATGTTACTCACATACGCGCCTACTTCGTAAGAAGTAGAATATAGACATTTATTAATGGCATGCTATTCTGTTTTTATTAATTATACGCCCAACTACACGTATCCTTTCATCGGTATCGATATTTACATACTTTTGAAATGTAACGATACGTTTACTCTTCTCTCTACATTGCAAAACCAAACCTCCTTTTACGGTTGCGAATAAAATACATTGTCAAAATAGCATATCTAATAAGACAGGGGCGTGTGTACAGGTGATCAACATGATGTAAAACCTCGACGTAATTAAGCTCTTGAGCTTAACCTCCTTAGAGGTTTTCCAAGGTACTGAGAAATTCCCGCATACCCGTCAACGTCTAATGAGGGGATTGTGGATGAAGTTTCAGATTGGCATGAGGCAATTAAGGAGGACCTATTTACCTCGAAATCTTAGAATATATATTAATAACGACGGTCCCTGTGTCACTAACACGCCAGTCATAATTAAGGCACATAAAAGCTGCAAATGCATACGTCTTTCGAAATATTTTCTTCCTACACCCTTTTCCTACATCTCCACTTTTGATTGATACCACTCAGAATCTAGAGAAAAAATGTGGCCTAAGGAGAAACATATGTAAAGTTTCTTTTTCTTTCATAAAATCACTGTGTTAGCACACAATTTCGTGCGATCGGATGGAGAATTTCTCGTAGAAAGAAATTTTGCGCGAAAGAACGTTCACTTTCGTCGCTCGCGCGTATGACGTGTCGTACTCGCAAGGATCCTGCCAACGAATATGCTAAAAGTCTACCACACGCGATAATTTTCTAAAACTAATTTATATTCATTATAATATTAGCCACGCGACGTCTCTCCGTGTAATTAGCTCAAGAATTTCCCGAGTCAGCGCGAAATTTCGCAAGATAAATTGCGCGAAATTCCTCTCAATAATCCATCGCCAGTGAACTCTTCGACGTTGAAGACTATCTCAATCCAAGACGAGGTAAGAAAGATCATACGAACAAAATGAAACTACCTCATCATCATTAGGACCTAATTACCGGAAGGCCTTAGACGCGGATGACATCGTTGACGAGCGGCCGAAGCGAGGCGCTAACTACCGCACGGCGACGCACGCGCTCGTCTTCACCCCCGCAGGTACGAGCAAGCCGGGTGCAAGCATCTTGAAGTGAGCTACGTCGGTCTAGGCGAAAGCTTATTAATGGGGTACCCGGGAGAGGACAGGGGAGCTTTCGCGGAACGACGACGAGGGAAGAACGGGTTGCGGCGGTGGATGCTGGCTGGATGGCTCGAGATAGAGGGTAGAAAAAAGTAACAGACTCCCCGCAAATAACCCCCACGGTGCTCGCAGTAGGCGTGTCCCGGCGAAGGGGTGATGGCAGGCTCCGGCCAACCAGGCTCCGCTGGCGACGCGCACCCCGGCCTTCCCTCGTCGAATGAAAAAATATTGACCGTATGAGGGGGTATTCTGCGGTCCATTTGGGGGTTGCGGAGGTGAAACGCAACGGTCGACTGATTGTCAGGGCGGGCGGGCGAGGAGGAGTACGAGGCGGCGGGTGAATACCCTCCTCGTCACGTACGGGATCATTAGCTGGATATCCTTGGTCCCGCTGGCCAACCCTATCCGATAGCGGTGATCCTCGTGCTTGACATCATTATCCTTGGATGCTCCGGAGCGCCAACGCGGTTCGACCATACCTCGTCGTAGGCGCCTTCGTAGTGCGGTACCGTCTCCTTCTCGCGCTCCTGCTGCCTCTTCGCTTACCTTATGTTGTTCATTTGTCTTTCGGCGAGTCCGTCGCTGAACGGTGGACGCGCTTGAAAAAAAGTGCGCGTTCTTTGCGGCGGAATGACGGTCGCACGAAGATGAGCGCGATCGTGTTGGTGATTTAATAACCCGATGTAGTGCGTCGCGAGGAACTATGGGTGATTATCTCTGCGATAGTGACGAATCAAACTGTTGATTATGGTGAAGAAGAAAAATTGATCGGCCGGTTGCTGTTTCCACGGGAAGGATCTCGCGACAATTTAATATCAAAGTCTTCGAGGAAATTCGATTATTCGCCGTGTTTTTCCGTCGCAAAATCGGCCGCGTGGTCTTTGAAAATTAATCGATACATTAGTATAGCGGAATAATTTGACGAGCGATTGACGTCAACGCTTTCCCGACGGTCAAATGCTCGGGCACTATTATTATTCGTAATATTAACGTGCGTCGAGCATCGAGGTGAAATTCTAGTTTTAAGTATTACAATGGAGACGAGCGATCCGTCGGGTAGACTAACGGCGGAAGACTTATCGGATTGCATAAGCGACAGCAGTCACTCGGAATCTCAATTAAGAGCGTTTCAAAGTTACGAGCGCATCAAGGAGCTGAATCTATCCATCGACAAAACCAAGGAAGATGCATCAACCGAGCCGAAGGACTTTCATCTTAGTCTCGATGGAAGCGGCGGCGGCGGCGGTGGTGGCAGGACGTCCTTGCGATTCGAGGAGTTCCCGTGTGAGAATTCGGCGAGAAACCTGACGATGCCATTGAACAAGGCCAAAGATTACGGTTACTCCGCCAATAATCTGAGCGAAATAAACTATCCGTTGGACCGCTCGAACGAGAGCGAGGAATCGGCAGATGCGGCGACGACGCTTTGCCGATCCAAAAATTCCCAAGCCAAGAACGTGCTGTTCAATCTGCGCGAGGCCAAGCAAAGGAGTCCTCACACATCGTTGTCCTCCTTGGACAGGTACAGCAAGGACCTCAACTTCGTGGTGGAGAAGGAGATGAAGGACTTTAGTCTGCTCAAAAACTACAGTCTTGATCGTATGAAGGAGTTCAATTTTTCTCTGGATAGAATGAGGGACAATCACATCAGCAGCTTGGCACTCGAAAGACTGCGCGGTGGCGCCGGGCTGCTGGAAAATCCGGGTATGCTGGAGCACAAGGAATTCAGGAACCTACAAGTGCAGCCCAGAAATCCCGATCTCGAGGCCATAGCTTTGGAACGCATGAGACGCTCGCATTTACTCGGTACGGAGCTGTCCGCGCAAAACCTATCGACGCAAGTGCCACATTCGCATTCCATCACGCACATGCAGCATTCTCAGCAACAGCAGCAGCAACAAGCCAAGTCCTTCACCATCGACGCAATTCTAGGCCTGAGGAATAATCAGCGCGAAAAGCGGAGTCAACAGCAACAGTACAGGAAACATCAAGGTATTTATCACGTTTAGTTCCACAGCTCGCTTAATGCTAGTTGCCGATGACTATATTCTCTCTGTTGGAATATAACTTAATACGATTTAAAAAGAAATGTCAATACAAATTGGCTCGTATTCTCTTTTATCGATAAAAGCCTTAAATGTGGCTTCTTAGCTAATCAGGTTTCCTAAGCCACTTTTAGAGGTATTTTTACCGATAAAAGAGAGTTCAAAATGCGGGCTATTGTTCTACCAGCAAATATCGTAAGAATAAGTTAGAAATATTAACCCTTTTAGTGCCGGGCGAAAAAGAGGTGCTTATGCGAAGATAACCGGCCGATTTTACTAGGATTTGGTAAAAGGCTCATAAAAACCAAACGAAAAGCAATATTTAAAAATTATTTATTTTAATTCTCTCGTAATGAAATTAGACTATTTATAACGTATTTTAAATTTATTTTGATAGAGATCTCTCGCAATGCGAATAGTAAAGCGCTACAAGGTGCGGGCCGATATATCGGCTCTGGCACTTCTCGCCGGTGTAGCAGGAACCGATATATCGGCTCCCGGCACTAAAAGGGTTAATAAACGGAAGAAACGTGGTTAAGATGTAAGTTTCATGATATTTCGAATTTGTGTGCGTATATGTCTGTATAGGTTTAAATTTACCAATTTATTATTTTCAATAAGTCACTCTGTGTAATTCGTTTCGGTTAAAAAACAAAAACCGAAACACTTCTATCGTGAATTGTATACACGTCCAGCGAAAACTCGCAACTGACTTCAGTTAAATTTCCGTTTTCTTTTAAACGCAAGTGTCAAATATCTAAATTTTCCACATCGGAAAAATGGTATTTAGAATCTCATAATTACATCCAAGGTACTTTATACGTTCGCTTTGTTATTGTATAATTATTCCTGCAGACTTTTCAGCTGATGCTCGATACATAGAGCAAATTTAACTCAATCGTAAAATATTAATTTTTTACGCATCTTTTAAACACAATATCTCTTTATGTTTTGCATAGGATTTTCATTTACTTTTGTCGTTATTTAAAATTATCTTCTTTTCGCAAAGAAAAGAGAGACATGTCTCAGCAACTACGTTTAGGTTATAAAACGCTGAAATGCTATCAAAAGAAACCCTTCGTTTCTTATGTTTACAGGTCAGGAAGGTTCGACGAAAAACAGTAGTTCGAGTTCTAGTTCCGGTGGGGGTGGTAAGGTGAAGAGGGTGCGAACGATCTTTACGGCAGAACAGCTGGAACGTTTAGAAGGTGAATTCGCACGTCAGCAATATATGGTGGGCCCCGAGAGACTGTACCTGGCTCACGCGCTTCGGTTGACGGAAGCACAAGTCAAGGTCTGGTTCCAGAATCGCCGTATCAAGTGGCGAAAACTGCATCACGAGCAACAAAGCCAAAGGGTGCATGAATTTCAGCGCTCATTAAACTCCTCATTGGAGCATGAAGACAGCAACGAGACTGACAAATGGTGAAGCAAGAATCTATTATCTATGCGTTTCTCGATCGTGACTCTTACTTCCTCCTATGCTTTTTTATATCTTTTATTTTGCCACGTACTAGAAATCGGGAAGTCATTTTAGTCGATATAGTTGCAAAAGAGATTTCAAACGTCAACTTGTCAATTGTCCCCGAAGAAGTATCGTTTTAGATAACTTCTTATAAATTGACCATGTCGTGTCTTTGTTTCTCCACTCTCATTTCTGTGCCAGTCATCTCGTTGTATTGTATCACGAGATTTCGTGCACTCTTTATGGAACATACATTGCGAGTCGTATAACGGAAGATTATATATTTCTAAAAAATAACGATCTTGATTCTACCGAAGTGAGTTTCTTACTTTGTAAATATTTCTTTAATATCTTAGTTTAAAGCTGTGAAAAGAAACCGATATGTTCAACGTTTTGACGTGTTTCTAAGAACTTTTAAGCTATTGTGAACAACAAATTGCCGTCGTAAGAAGTGCAAGTTATATTTGAACTCTGATTTCAACGTTTCAAAAGACGTATTAAACTATAACAAAAAGAAAAGTTGTGTCAAAGGTAAATGTAAATAGGTATGTAATAAACGATAAGGAATAAAATTTGACGAAAGTGGAGTGCAAAGTATAAAAGTCTCGAAGAGATTAAGTGGTAACACATTTTTGGAGAATGGATCAAACTGGAAGAAATAAGACAAAGTACAATTCCCCACATTCGTCCACTACATGGTCTACTAAACAAACTGCTGATGCTAGAGTTTCGCCTGACCCTTGTTGGAAGTATGCTCAAAGAAGTAATCAAGATGCCACTGATAAAAACACCAGGTAAATCAAATTCTTGTAAAAAAAATATATAAAATTTGATTAAGAAAAGAAAAAGCTTTATTTGGTCAAGGAAACGAACTTTATGTTAACGAACATACAGATGATAGTATTTAACGAAAATAATTGAGAGGCAATTGCATAATTTTTAGACGCCATCAGATCTCTATGGCGGAACCAACAGTAAATTATTATCCCATCGAGAATTCTTACAAGAATGTGAAACATCACAATCATCCGTGTTCGACATACCCAAAACATTCTTCCGCTCTTCGCACGGAGACGTCACATCGATATCAACAAACTAGCGCGAAATCCAGCAGAAACAAAGATTACGCTAACAACGCCGCTGTCATGAAAAAAGATCGGTTTAAGAACCAAGAGGACGAGAACAATGCAGTATATGTTGACGATGAATTAGGAAATTATACGGAAGACAATTTAGAGGACGACGCTGAAGAGGAAGTTACGGAGAGTAAGTATTTATTTGACATTTCCTTCTTATTTTTGCACGGGGCTTTGTATTATTAAAAAAATTGGATATTAACAGTAACGCTGGAAGTTTTTAAGAAGTAGACAAAGTATGAAAGAGGCAGAGAAACAATGATTTTTTAAATACACGCATAGATGCGTGCTCAAAAAATCATTGTATGTGTGTGCTTGACTTTTATGTTTAATTAATTAAAGTAAAATGTAACTATAGCGGGAAATGATCAAGAGAGGGCCGTTGAATCTCTCGATAAGGAGTATGATGAACAAGAGGTGGACGACGAGATAGACGAAGAATCTGATGTGCCCGCCGAACCGCAAACAATGCAACGAGATGCAGCCAAAAAAGAGGCGTTACTGCGAGCGCAGCAACGATTGCGAACAATTAATCATCAACAAGATCCGCATAGGATTCATTACCGTCAACATTCACCGAGACTGCATCAAGCTCATACTTTGGCAACAAGGTTCGTAAATGTAAAAAATGTAAATTATCACACACGTGTAAATGATTATATCTCGAACGATCGTCCTCCGGTCGTCTCAATTAGAGGGACTAGGAATTCTCGTGATATCTATCCGCAAATGGAAAATTCATACAAATACGTTTCATTATACTTCTTTGCTTCATTTAATTCGCTCAGTTCCGATTAATTCTCAATTTGTGCTACTTTAATTGTTCTACGGCGTGAACAGTCCATTCACAGCTAATGAAGAACTAAATGGATCGTACACGACAAAGTAGCATGAATCAGAAACTAGAGGCATGAACGCACATTAACGGCGCGTACGTAGTAATTAAACGGCTCCATGTTAAATTATCTGTATTATGCTTTCGGTTCGATATTCTCTTTAATCGCGCACGTTCTGTCATCGATGTGCCGAATTTCTGTGAGGTGATCGTGTGATTAGGTACTACAACATACCCGATCACGATATCCACGAAGCGTTGTCGGAGGAGGATCTGTACGTCGCGGAGGCATTGAAAAGTCCTCCGCGGAGATCATCAGCGGGCTATCATCAAAATTGGATTCCGTCGAGGAGTTCGGCCGATCGATATGACACGACGACCACGCCGACTCAGCTGAGTCGCCGAGCACGGCCGAGGCCGGAATCGAAGTCCTTTATGGAGGTAGAATTCGCCGACAGAAGGAAGTGCAGCCGTTGCGGCAGTATTTCGATCAGGAAGCCACCGAGTTCGAGGAGAAATAACTATAAATTTCAGGATACCTCTGCTTTTCCGACTAAGGGACGTTTTGGTGAGCGAAGTTACCGTGAAATAATGAGAGTAATTCAATCGCGTTGAAATACAATTGTAATTAAGAGAATTATTTCTTTTAATTAGTTGCATAATTATAATTTCCACGTTCAATGTTATCGCCTTAGATGAAACAAAGAACATTATAATATCTTACGTTATGATGTACTTCTTTCAGGCGACGATGCCGAGATTCTCGATCAGTTTTGGTGCGGTCATTGCAAGCCGAGGCATTATGTTGAAGAAAGTATGAGACCTAGTGAAATTCCATCACCGGCTTTGTACACCATGAAATCGAGACGCTCCAGGGACACCGGCACACCAATGCACGAAACATTGGAGGGGAAATGTGCGATGGACGAGTTATCGCATGGATACACGCGAATTCCTCTCAGATATGCCAAAGACACTGTCTTACGCGACAGAATCAGACAGCAGTCAGTACAGAGCCCAACTAAGACGACCGTTCGTTACGATTCTTAAACAAAAAATTGAGAAGATTGACGTTATACGGATGAAATATGTAAATTTTCTTACTGCGGATAAGCTGTCTTCAAACAAGATTCACGCGAAACTTCAAGCAAGAATTGAAAACTCGTTTTGTTCGACAATAACAACCTCCGAAATGAAATTTTGTATCCTGATTTTAGAAATGCCCAGTTGCACGTGAACATATAATATTAACCGGTCAGAAAAGTCTTTAAAGAGAATGTCAGGTATCCTTTTGTGCTTCACAAAGAAAAAAGATATTTACGCGCGAGCGAAGATTTCCGGAATATGAAAATTGTTACTTTGAGACTACCTTTCATTGAATCGTAGTGTTAGATACTTCGAATGACGAGGAGCCTAAAGAGATCCGTAGAAATAAAAATTATCGAGAGATGATACAGTAGACCCATACATAACGAGAGATGACATTACAATGTAACAATCACAAATGCTACGGTAATACTCTTATTCACAGTCATTTCCCTCCTACCGGTTGTCCAACATATATTTTTGTAACTGTCTTTCTCGAATCGTGTAGATGTACTCTGTGTACCATGATAAGAAAATTATGCTGTGACGGCACGAGAAATTAGTCGCGAGTGTACATAAGAAGGAAAAATAATAGGTAAACGAGCAAAACAAATAGAGCTAAAGCGATTTAACGTCCTCTTTCTCATTGTAATTTCAAGGAGGTAAACTTCACTTTAAAGAAATGACTTTTGGCACTGGCGCACAAAATCGATTGTAAATACGTGATACTATTACATAATTAATTATACGATAGACGTACGCGTACATGTTAAACGGAGAATAAAACTCTCAGTCTGTACATTCAACATAACTGGTCTGTGTTTAATTGAACCCAAATTAAAATCCATATTTAAATTGGTATTCTTTGTAATTAATTCGGTAAAGTTGTGACCGCTATCAAGACATAACATACGCGTTGCAAAGGAAATAATTTACCAAAAGAAGGCAATTTAATATTATTATAAAATTTAGAAGCAAAATAGAGCGATTATGAATTTATCGAAATCTCTCGCGATTAAGAGAGATGAATGGTATTTGAAATTTCTCGGTAAATAAATATAGACGGGAAGAAATGTCTTATGCGGATTTTCAAACGATTTTTCCTCCGCTCGCGGTTAAAATCGCAAGGTGTGCGGCTTTTCACGTCGGGAGCTACTAGCTAGGCACAAAGGGAAAGCTTCGACTGAAGCTTTTGTTTAAACATTAATAACGCTCGGGAACTTTGTCGCACGCAACGCTGGGAGCGTACGCTTTGTTCAATTAAACTTAATATCTTTATTATATCAGCGTACTAAAAGCGGATGTTATTTATTGCAACAGAGATGTGGTATCGGGAATTTCATAAAACATAATTGAATATTTCGTGCAATAAACAGATCGTGCGGCTACACGGAGAAAGATATATAAACAGATTTTGGAATTTGCACGCAGCACGTTTTGATATCGTGCCGTGCAAAATGTATAATTGTTAAATTTATAATATATATAGTGATTCTCGATACTGCGGTATTAATATCGTCTTGCTGCGAGATATGCGAAAGACTATTAATGCACACGTAAATTGCATCACGTGTACCATTATTCCAAATAAAAATTTGACACGGATGATGGTTAGTAACTAATATTCGCTCGTTACGCGCGAAAGCCTCATTGTCGCCGTGATAAATTAGCATACGACCCACGTCAAAGCATCACAAAAAGCCCTTGATGCACAATCATGTAGACTTCGCCATCACGGAGAGGTACGGAGAAAGGTATCCATCAAAACGTTTATTCGTAATACACCATCTCTCATATCGCAAATTTCATTTATTCGATATCAATTAATACGGTTATTATACATCACTATTACGTTCTTTCATAATTATCATCGTAGCGTTATCGTGTATATTTTAAGTCGTTAAATCATGACTTCTTGTTGTAATATAATCCCGTTACAACAACGGCATTGAATTATTTTAATTTTTCGCATGTTTTTACTCTCGCCTCCTCTCTTTCTCTCGAATGAACTAATAATTTACAAAATTCCTCGAAATCGGCCGATCGTCGCACAAAAAGGCTCATGCGTAGATAAAGCCACGCGATCGGATCGAAATCGTCACTGGGCGAAAGGGAAGAACGAAAGCGAGATGAGCCTCGATATCTCGCGCTACAGCCCCTGCTGCGAGATGTAAGCTCCGCCTATCCCTCGGTTACAACGGGACTTGCAAGAGCCGTGCAACCCCCACCTTCCGGTGGAGGATATCCCAACCCCTGCTCCATCGTCGTTGGCATCCGCGGCATTCCAATTAGCTCGCGAATCAAAAGAGCCCCACTGCCTTTGTGGGGTCTCACCCTACCCCCGGTAAACTCGCTCGATCTCTCTCTATCGCCCTATCTCGTTAACCGCCTCCTCTCTGTCCGTCTATCTATCCGCCTTGCTATCTGCTTTATCGCACTTTCTATATATTTATCTTTCTGTCTAAATCACTACGCTCACATATACGTGTCCTTCACGCAGTACTTTACACGCGGTGCACGGAGCTTTCATTAGTTGCGTGTGCTCGTAATATATCGCATCGCGTATTTTAACTGGCTAACTGGTTGTTCAATACCACACACTGCGCGCATATATTTAAAGTATTCGGTAGTGAGTTATATTTATGCCTAATGCGGAAACCGCACTTGAAATCATTGTAGCGCGAGAGAACTCGAGATAGAGATATTTTATACCACATGCTACGCAATCGAGATATGAATGTACATTTTGTTCCTTTGACATCAAGATTCGTTTACGGTTCTATAAAAAAGAAAAAAATTACAAAAAACTGTGCACGAATCTGACGATTAGGTTCACTCTACGAATTTTCCCAAGTTACGCGATCGATCATTTATTTTCCCCTCGTTTTACCAAATTATTTTTCCCACCCACTCTCGACGTTGGGTGTAAATAAATAATAAAAGGGATCTCTTTCGTGCCATTCTTTTTACCGTACATTGTGCACTTGGTCTCTCGTTTTTCTTTGCATCTCTTCCCTTTCTTGTCCTCTCTCTCTCTCTCTCTCTCTCTCTTCGTTCGTTGCTATCCCGCGCTTATTTGTTGCTCTTTTTACCGTTCTTCCTCTACCGCTGAATCGTTCTCTCTTCCTCTGTGCTGTACGCGCACTGGCTTTTTACGTGGAATAAAACCAAGCAACGGGAAAGAGCGGCAATTACGAGAGGACGAAGGATGGTGGATGGGATTAACCGCAGTTTTAATCGTGAACCCTCTTCTTTGGCGGACGGGATTTATATAAACGCGTGAGCACTTTGGCGAAACGACCAAATTACGTTGCTCGTCCATCCTTAACTAGCGAGCGAATCTTTGTAGACATGCCGGACATATTGTAATACGTTCATAATCAATTATTTTATGAAATATGAACGATCGAAAAATATAAATATTTGCAAATAATATAATGCAATTGAATTCGTATATGTTAGAATGAGGTTCTTTGCATAATAATAACAAGTCTGAAATATCAAGGAAAAGGACAAACCATATATTTTTCGAAATATGCAAATATATTGTGCACTATGCAAGCTTTACACATGTATATACTTCAATATCACATACGTCGAGCCAAATGTTAAGTGCAAAAAAATACGTAGGATTTGAAAGGCGCTATTTCAAAGATTCCAAGAGCGCAATATGGCTGGAGTATATTTCAAGACATTCAGAAATATGGCGGAGCGGATTTCAATATCCCGGCAGGTCGAGTGACAAATTGGTATTGCAAAGCGACTCTCGACGTTTCCCTCGGCCTTCCGCGTTTTTACTCAAACGGGCATCCATATACACCAGTCGCTCGGAGTAATTGAAATCGGAGGAAATCGCTCGTGGTGTTTCCCCCGACTCGGCCACGACGGAGCGCAACGCAAATTTTATTACGGCGCGCCTCTATCCACTTCGTTAGATGCCACTTTGTTTATCATTCGCGGATATTAAAATCGTCGGTATGATGTGAGTGTGTATCCGGCGTCGTTTCACCATTTGTATGCGGTCTGTACAGGCACATCAGCGGTTATCTAAATTCCCATATTTCCGCAACTCGTGCGTGTTTCTTTCTCCGAATATTTGTTTCAGAGAAATCTAAATTTAGGCTGATTGAAACACTGAAATCATATATTATCTAATTAATTTTGCACTACAACATATATGCTAAATTTGAAATTTCAAATTCTTTCACGTATAATCAAAGATTCGCAAAATTCATTGTACATTTTACAAGTAGTATTATTAAATTTAATTAAAAAAAGGTATTGGATAAACGTTCTAATTGAACTTGACAAAAAAAGTAGAATTTTATTGAAGTGACAAAAAAAATATACACTTTGTAAGATAGCGTTAATAGCAGCGACGGTGTAGTGCACTCGAAAAAAAATTGAAGTGACGTGAGGGCAGCAATCGTGCATAATGCGAGTTCCCGGTCAGGATCAAAGAGCATTCCACCGCTCGAAATACGCAAGCAATCTTCACTTTATAAGTTAGGTTGATATCAAACGCGCAATCTCTGGAATCTGCAATTTGCATATGCGAGTACGCACTAATATTAATGATGAAATCAGGCTGCGAAATTAATGGTTCCGACGAAGAATTGGACAGTACATTTCTGAGTGCCTTAATAAAAAAAAAAAATTATGACAGCGTAAAATGCTGTATATGTAAAAATACATGTATATGTAATGTACGAAAATCTAATTAATAAAGAAATCCATTTTTAATTAAATCTTAATTTCAACGACGACTAACAGTGCAATTAGAGAGAGTTAAGGTTCTTTGCAAAATAGCTCAGAGGTTACAGAAATCTCGAACGTTTCGCTTCAGCAGCATCCAATTAACGTTGCGGACGCGACAAGCGGTCGAGTATAATTTATTACGCGGTGAAACGACTGGTCGCGACTGATTGCAATATTCTTCCCAGATGTCTCGCATCGGCCAACGGCATGAGGGATGCCCGTGTTATTAAGGGGCGAGAAACGTGGAAATATTTTCGTAACGATTACCGTCGTAGCCACGCGGCTACACCTGCGCATACGCAGCCATCACTATTGTTGCATTATAACTTTCGATAATCATCCTCATACGCGCGCACGACAAACTTCAATAACGACGATTTGTTTTAATAACGCTATCTCATCCGTGCATTAACTAGCAGTGGATACGAACAATCTCGCGAACACACATGTTGCATCAGTTTGAATTTACTCGGATAATGTGTGTATATAACACAATTTTCCACATAAAATAATTTTAGCAGATGCGTTTGACTCGAATTGAAAAGTTCCGCTGAATAATACCGCATAATGTGTTTCAAATTTCAGGATAACGCGATGATTATTGGGGACAATAATAAAGTTATTGAGTAATTTCACGAGCATGTGGAAATTGTTTGTATTGACGGGCATGTAATCCGTCGATTTGAACATCAAAGTGCAATAAAGGCGCTTTTATGCGCGCGGTCAAAGTGGTACTTGTGTCGAATTTTGTTCAGCTTTTCATGGAAATTAAAACGTCCCGTCAAAATCGTTGGAAAAATTGATATAAAAAATAATATGATATTTTATACGAATGTCCGCGACTATTTGCGACTGATTGGCTGCGTATCGGACGACCGGTCGATACCCTTTTTGCGCATTGCGCCACAAATATTTATAACTCGCGTCCGTGCGCGGCGGTGGCTAATCGAGATTTAGGGATGCTCGGCCACTCGACTAAACAGGGGTCGCGTCGTATGTTCGTAGCCGTCACTAATCATGACCACGAATATACATGCCGTAAAAAGCATAACCGCTATGCAGGACGAACGACGGAAGGGGAATGTACGCCCGAGGGGCTGCGTACAGGTCGCATTCATAACATCAGACGGGGTAATAAAAGTCAGCACCCTGCCCGCGCCGCTTTCTACGCCGCCCTCGTTCTGCCTGGATACCCAGAAGAACGTGGGGGCGTGGAGATGCGTAGGTGAGTCAAAAAAGCCAAGAGAGGGAGAGAAAGAAAGAGAGGAACGCTGTGGCTCGTATTGTTCGCCCAGGCATGTGGCATATTCGCGAAAACGTCGCGTTGCACGTATATGTACATACGTGATATTTGATATGTTCAGATAATACGTCAACTGGAGAATTTCGTGGAATTTTACGATTCGAAGAACAAATACTTTGTTGAAATGGAAATACACTTTATCGTATAATTATGCACTATGTGTAAAGTGTCATTTAATTTTGTGAGATAAACGGTATTTCTTGATTTACATGATAACAATGTGTATCTAAGTAGCGGACAACTTTTTTCCATGAAACTTTACGAAGAATTCTGGTTGAACACGCAACCAACGTTTTTATGAGTACCTTATAAAATGCTGACGGATACTTTGTAAATTTTATTAAAGTGGACGGTAAATGGTAGGTTGTTTACTCTTTATGTATTGTTACAATAATCATACTAAGTTATGGAGACTCAGATGTTTATAAAAGGAATATTTGGATTAAAATATTTAAACGAACAATTCGCACGATTATATTTTCTTCTCTAAAGCAGATTCTTCAAAAGCTAAAAATAAAGCCCCTGACGGAGTCGATGTTCAAAGGGTCGCAGGACCCGCTAACGCGACCAGTTAGAGAGACGATGATCGTGTCTCCGACAGAGTCACTTTGCCCCCAAATATAATCCCCCCGTTGTAAACCACTCCAGGGGCCACCCTTTCCAGTCAGGTCAAGTGTTTTCTCCCACTAACACGCGTAGCTCTGTACATCCGAAGGGTGCCATCGAAAGAATCGCAACTATTTCATTTTGGGACAGATTAGACAGATTAGCGGGCAAGGATGTGCAACCGAGGGCTATTTAGCGATGTCATCTGTGACGCGGCGTCATGGGGTCAAAGAATATTATTTTTTGGCCGATCCCACGTGCGTCGTCGTTTCATATATGAACTATGCACGTGTGGATTCAAGATTGTAATATCAAATCCCCTTTGAAATTAATATCCGAATAAACGTGCGTTCTTGAACTTTTCTGTTTATTTTATTAATCCTTTCTCAAGAAAATACGACGAAATTAATAAACCTGTTGATAAACCGGTATCGTCAGAGGGGAGATGAATTTTCAAAGGGTTAAAGCTTGGCATCTAAACGATGGGCGAATCTTTAATACTTGTATCACATGTTGCTAATTACGTCGCTCTTTGAAGTCTTAATACCTTCACCTTTGCTCCAGCTCGTGCCAAAAAGGATTAAATCGAAAATCGGATTTCAGTGTTTAATCTTTCGCTACATGAGCCTGCGGAAATTAAAGCACGTTGATTAAAGTAATTCTCGATTAATGAGGCTTTACCTTACGCAACGAACGTTATTCTATCGCACTGAAATATCACGAATGTATCGTACTAGAGAAAATAATTTTTTAACTATGAATGCATCTTCGCAAGTACTGTATCTATACTATTTGTGATACTTTTATATTTTAAATTAATGTTAATATTTATACAATTTCATGTCATTATTATGCATTTGATCAATGTTATTGTAGATTGAGATAGCACAAGCCTGGACAGCCAAAGGTCTCTCCGAGACCAGATTAAGCCGACAACTACTGAAATAGAGACCGTTGTTACCTACAATCGCTAAGTTATGTTTTTATTATCTGTTACTTTTGATTACACATCTTTACACAAATATGTTTCTCTCATGTTTTCTTAAAATTCGATAAAAATAGTCGCCGCGTTGTAAGTGCACATGCAATGAGCAGGAACATTAATCGATTTTTCTCATCACTTCACGTATAATAGTATTAAGTTATGGCTAAAGAAAAGTGGATCTAAACATAAAATATGAATCAGCAGTCTTTAACACTGAGGGCTAGTGTTCGCAAGCGTTAGTTACAGAGGAACATTAATTTATTAATTTGTATGCCCCATTCCCAAAGTATTAGGGTAACTTTCATCAATCTCGGTCAACTCAACGAAATTGACCAATCGCTTTGGCCAATTAGTTAAACTGATCGATACGATTGGTCAGTTCCGTTGAATTAACCATCGGTTGATTGAATTGAGTGGAAGTCACCCGTGTTAGCGGCAACTCTACATTCACGTTCACCTGTTAGAACCTTGTCCATAACGACTTTTCGACTCTACCGGTAACAAGATAAATTGATTGAAAAACTTCTCTGATATATATATATATATATATATAGGAAACAGATTCCAATATCATATTTAATCGTATTTTTAAGATGATAATCATATCGGAATGACGTTTAGATCAATTGTGTGTCAATAATCGGTTGTCGTGTATACGTACGGTCTTCGCTGATGGTCGACTGATGTTCATACAGATACAAACATTAACGCCATCTTGTGTTCCTGCTGCACTGCACTTTCGATGTTCTGGTACCAATGTAGACACACGAATCTTCCTAAAAGTAATCGACCATCAGCCCAACCAGTCACGCTCCATAAAAGTGCTCCACGAACAGACGTTACGCGAAGTGACGTGTCCGTTTATCAAATAGCTGATAGACGTTTGTGCTTACGTGGACCTTAAGGTCTCCATCCCGAAGAGGGATTTGAAAGTACATTTGCGTCCGCGTGTTCGTTTACCCTCTAATGGCAGTGCCACTGCGGACCTTGTAGCGTTTGACGTCACCGCGAGCATGAACAATACATCGCGTAAAGTGAAAAACCCGTTGCTGTCCGCCGCAGGTGCGGGCTTTCCGTTCGAGAATTACACGGAGAATGCGTTGCTGGTGCCCGTCACACCTGCGACTCCCGCCGTGCTTCGAGACGGTGAGTTTGCGTTTGACAAAAGAGCGTGGGTGGGGCTCGACATCCGGCGAATTTCGCGCATTGCTCGATCCGATAACGCAGAGAACTGCGTGACGATCGATTTTCGAAGTGAGATTCAGCGTCGGACAGCTTCCTCGTTCTGCTATCTCTCCTGCACTTCGTGTTTACGACCGTGGCAAAGATACACATGTGTTCAAACATCTGTTACTCCGACATCGTTTGCGCAGTTGGTATTATAGAGAGGAGCGACATGGGCTGCATTCTGATATTCGTTGCCAGTACTGAAAATCTATAATACACGTGACATGAACTGTAGCTTTTCTAGAAGACTAGCAGTGAATATCGGAGCGCAGCCATGATGATGGCAGTAACGTAAGTCCCTAACTCGAACGTTGAACGTTACGCCGTCGGACAACGTCAGACCTTGTAGGTTAGTAAGTTGTGCGACGAAGATGGAGGAAAAGTGACTTTTCCTACGTTTTATGTTGCGCGATGAACTTTAAACCAGTTTGTACGAGAGCAAGTCTGTGTAAAGTTAAATTTTAATTATATCGGAAAGTTACGAAGCCTGTCAAACACCGTCGAAGCTGGTTTCTTCCAAGTACTAGGACTCATAACGTAGCACTGAGGTTGTCTGAGGTCTCAGGTGTAAACAATGAAAGAGTAATGACATATATAAAAATTTGAGCAATATAAACAAATTGGCTAAAACATAGATGAAAATGTGAAAATTGCAGTTATATCTCAATAATTCTCAATTGTGATTGGACTAACAGAGGGATTTACTGCTCAACTTTTACTGTTTAAGATTAATTTTCATGTGTTCTTTTTTATATAATCTATTGCTGTAGACATTTCAATGAACGCCATTAAATACATTTAATATGTCGTCCATGCAAATATTACACACTTTTTGAAAAGGAGCTCGTAAGAGGCGTTGTTCCCTTTAGTTCCACTCTGAGTTCTCTTTTCTTGAGTGAGGACAAGTAGGATTATCGCAGTGATTTATGTATAATATTTCGTCATCAAGTTAATTTTATGTAGAAATTTATATAAATGAAATATTTTATCAATATACAGACTGGCATGTATAGATGTAATATTTCTAGGGGTTTGTGGTTCAGTTGCCAACGATGTAGCCGATTCCAACAGGAATGTTGTTAGAAGCTGGTTCTTTCAGATCTGGCAGGTGGCCTAGAGCCGTATCTTTGTGTGTAAGGTAGATCATGACCATTCCTCTTACGAACGCAATAGACTATTGCGACGATGAGGAGTATCAGAAGAAAGAGAAGAAATAATGCACCCACTACGATAGCGGCTATTTCTCCCTGCGATAGATTGTCCCATTCTACACAAATAATTGTATGTTATTTTGACATTTAACCTTCTCTATGCAAAAGTCCATTAATAATGTCTTCCAATTCCGGTTTAGACAATTGTGTGTTCCAACTTGTTGTGTATATCTACTTACATATCATGAGTGTTGCGACTAAAGAGTTCAAAACTGCTTTTTATTGATGAATATGATATTGCTATGAAATTGTCAGTTTCAGTTTTAAATCGTGGTGTATAAAAACTTAGATGAGATGCGTCTAAATAACAAATACTTAAATTGGAACTGAAGAACATTGATTACTTTCTGAAGAACTGAAGAACATTGATTGACTTTCGATATTGATATACTTTCACATCATTTTTACATGTATTAGGTTGGCGCAAATGAAATGGCCGTTTTCAGGGCAAAAGTTTCAATGAAGAAAAAAGTGTGAAAAATGCATTTAAGGAGTTTATCGATTCACGCTCTCTAAATTTTTTTAGAAAGTGCATTGATGCACTTGGATCACATTGGCAGAAGTGTATTGAAGTAGGTGGAAGCTATTTTGATTAGTTATGTAAGTTTTAAATTTGAAAAATACAAGTTTCAACTTTATATTTATAAACGGCCATTTCATTTACACCAACCTAATATATCATATTTGTATTATTATACCTGTCACATCTATGTTACGAGAGTGTTGATTATTTAGCAAATCAGTTGCTGTAACTGTGGCTATCGTAGAGCAGCATGTAGACAAATAATAAAATGTTACGGAGTTTTTCGTGCCACTTATGAAATCAGTGCGTGGATATATTTTATTTGGAGTCGAAGTTACGCTTTTCAAACCTATAAAAAAGCAGGAAAAGAATATATGCGATCAAATTTTGTAGAAATTTTCAGTTTATCGTTATGATTTGTTACCTGAATCGGAATCTTGAATAGTGATGTCAGCGCTCCAAAACGTTTTTTCGCACCGACCTTTGTTTAAATTACCGGCGCAATTACTATTGAACGAGTATTCGATTGTTGGTTTCACATTATCAGTGATCTAAACAAGCAAGTTGTAGGTTACACAAAATCTATAAAGCGCACATAAAGTATACAATCTCTTTCTTAATAAATGTTATATCATTTGATGTAACGTTTCGTGTTATTTCTCTGATTCTTGTCTCTAAATTTGTTAAAAGATTCACGGTTAAATATAAGTACGGGAATTCCACAATTTGTTTTATATCCGTTTATATTTACCTTGGCGGAGGAATCTTGAACGTAAAGATACACCGTTTTTTCCGATATTTCCGTACCATCGACAAACAATGTGAGCGTATTTATTGTATCTTGTCTGATTCCTGCCGGTACAACGACATCCACAGCTACGTAGTTGGTCTGTCCCGGGTATAACCATACGCTGTTGCAGATTCATGAAAGCAAACATAGATTCGGACAGAGAAATAATATCGAGATATATTTTAATAAGTAAAATCGAACGATGTTTACTCGAGAATATTATTTAATAATTGATTTACGTACTAAGGAGGTCGTATATTATATATCCTAAATGACGAACTCGTTGCTCGAACTGCATATCTGACTGTAAGAACGCAATTATTCGTTAAATCAAAGAATATTGTGTGTATTCTTCCTGGTACAGCCAACAAACTGCTTTCGGGATTCACTTCTATCAGTATTTTTTGTCTTGCAAAAATATCCTCTTTGCTATTCCCTGCCAGTCTCGCTTCTTGATTTTGTATTATTTTCATCGATACGTTGTTACTAGCGAATGGCTTCACATTCATATCGTTTTCATTCAACGAGGCGACTTCGGATGATCGCGCATCGATTTTCTGCTCTTGCTCTCTCAGCTGCTGTTTAATGAAGATCTATATTAGCACTTTTCTTATAGTTTATAATAATGTAATGAGAAAGTTTGGTGCTTATGTGTCTGACCAGAGCAAGCATTCTGTCGCCGAATATCGTCCTATTTGATACTTTTTGTGGAATTTCGATATTGCCATGACTCGCTAAGGAATGATTAGGTAGGGCAGAATTGTTGATAATGTCCTTCATCGCGGTAGCTTCAAGTGAGGAGAGTGACGCATTAGAAAAATCGTCTGTCATGGCTGCATCAGTACTTGTTCGTGTGTTTACAATTTCAGCAGATCTCTCGAACACGTACTTCGGTTTCTTACTCACGTTAGATTTTATTAGAAGCATTGAATCACCAACTCGTTCGTTGGCTATATCTTTGCAGGTCTCCTGCAAAATTCCAACGTAGAAGTATGTTTTGCACGTATGTAAGCATATATTACATAAAGATGTTTTATATACGTACTCAACTTACTTTATTGAATTGATTAAAATTTTCCATCATTGTGACCGTTGCTTCATTCTGTGAAATATGACCCCTATTTAACATTCGATCAAGGTCTTCTTTGAATTCTACACGCGAATAAAATATATAATTATATGTTTCGTAACGTAGCGATGCATTATATTGAGTTTTTTATTATGAAAGTGACGTATGTTATGAATTACTAAAAAAGTTTGCAGATTTCAAATGGCATTCCTAACATATTAATCAATCAACTTCGCTATTCGATATTGTATAAGCAGAACTTCTTTCAACGATTTTATCCATCTAACTTTCCACATTGACGAAAGTGAAAGCGACGGACTCTTACCACGTTGGAGTCGTAATTGTACGTTTGTCGCAACGATAGAAAGCGCGGCATAATTAAAAACCGTAATACAAAGCCGTAATTATTGATAGGACGGACTGAGCTTCCCGCAGGAGAGATGGAGACATTAAGAAGATAACAATTATTTCGAGGTCGCACTTAATTCTATTAAATGCGCGATAATAAAAACGACTATACTCAGCGAACCGTTTAAAAATAGAATCGTCGATAATAATAGCTTTGGTTGGCACCGTTTCGAGAAACTCGGTGGCCGAGCGCGGCTATCGCACCAACAAGAAACGCCCGTTAATTTGAACGGCGGTCTTCGCGCGATCGGCCGCTTCTCTTGGTTAGTCTCAGAGAGAGAGAGAGAGAGAGAGAGAGAGAGGCGTTAGGCGTGAAAAACGGAACGATCTATTTTGTTGCATTTCTGCATTTCTTCCTCGGTGAACTGACGTGCGTCAGAGCGCGAGTTGGACGCGAACGAGAGAGAAAGATGGTGCGAGAGCCGCGATCAAAGGCCACCGGGTGAATTGCACAATCTTGTTTATCCGCGGGCCAGAAAGCAACGGGTTGGCAGTTGTCAGACGGCTGTCGTGTCACGAGGAAGTTGGAAGTCGCGTGAGAGTGCGCGTGAGCGCGTGTGCAACTCGCGCGTTTCACTGACGGCTGAATTTGCGCGCAGATTAGAGTGAGTGACTATTTTATTTTGATTCGCGCGAAAAACACGAGCTGCAACATCGTGAATTCGTCCCGTCCTCATAAGTAACCACGGTAAAGTTGTGAAACGAATGTCGTTCTTGATTTGTAATTTTGCACGATGTAGCGTTACTATGTCGTTGATATGGTGTTATCACGCAGCTGATTTATTTATCAAGCTTCTCAAGTTATAAAACAAAAGATGACAGTGTTGATGTCAATTGTTTCCTGCTAATTAGCGGAGAATTCACACGCTTCACGTGAAAATGCATGAATTAATTAGTACACTGAGTCGGTATGTCACATTAACGCGCATAAATTTTACGAACTCGAGATATAATTATTTCTTAAATGCACATGTGTTACAATGTATCAGATAAAGGTTTATAATCAGCGTATGTACAACATCGACGATAATTATCACTCGAATTTTACTTACCGCTCACGGACTTAACGTCGATAATTTCATCCCTCGTGTTATTTTCCTCGCTTGCTCCGAAGTAACCGGTCACGTCGAAGTTGTACTTTGAATTTTCCACCCCCGCAAGTTTCGCGACCCAGCCACCTGGCGGAGGATTGCGCGCGCCGATGACCACCCCTTTCATGTCGTACGTACGTGCCAACGACATTGTTATTCCTGATCTCCGCATCGTCCTGTCTGTTAACGAGTGGATTACAAATCTGTTTCTTGATTAAACATCTTGCTGATACGGTTTGTAAGCCAAATTTAGCGATGATAAAAGACGAGGAAAATCTGTTATTATTTCGTTCTTCGATTACCTTGAGTCAAATTTATCTTTGTGTCTACAAGATAACATCGCATATTGAATAAAAATTGAACTAACAATACTAACAACCAATTAGTGCAAGAATGAAGTTGCGTGCAACATGGTGCACCGAGTGCGATACGAACGAGGCAACCCGACCATGCGGTCGATACTGCCCTTGGCGCTTGGAGATTAGACGAAATCGAGTTTGAAGGTAGTGATTTTATGTGCGACGGAATGCATCTAATAATCAAGGAAGTGTACACGCTAGTGAAACAATTAGTGTTTTACAATTTGTGGCTCGTTACGCGATCTCGATGATGTCGAAGACATTTCTTTCCGTTGTCAATAGAGGGTTGCGCTACTGGATGTGTCAGGAGATTCGTTCCTCGTAAATAAAATGAACATGTAAACGCAGAAGCAATACTCCCACGTTTTATCATTTAATTTCTCGTGTTATCTTAATTGCAAAATCAATTGCACAATATATTTCCCTCTTGATATCTTGTTAAATATTTACACAATGTTTTTCTTAAATAGATAATGAACTATGCATTCAGTAGACATTCTTTCGTAAGGTCATGCTGGATATCTCTTTTGATCGCAGTCGACGTTATTTTGTAAAAAAATACTGTATTTATGTAAAAATAAGGCATCTCGCATACTTATTTCACTTTCTCGATTTTGGAAATATAGAATAAAATTGTCTTTTCGAAATGTATGTGACGCGCGACATTTAAATAGGAGAAATTGATGCGTGGATGATCTATTTTTAGCTGTGTCGTGACTAACCAATATAATAGATATGCTAAGAAGCACATGACTCGAACGTGATGTTATCGATTTCACATTACAATTCTGGCTTATTATACGAAGAAAACAAAGTGAGACTTACTTGTAGGTATAGCCAGAACCGCGCGTGTAAGATTTCCCCGAATGTTGAATATAATTTCCGTTATATTGGCGTCTACATAGAACTTGGTTTCGGTATATCCGCTTAAATAAGCCTTGTGCACTAATTTTTCCTTTTGCTATAAAACATAGTTTTCACAAATCGTTTTTACAAGTTTTCTTATTATATGGACGTAAAATCTCCGTTACTCACTAAAAATTCTGAGCTGTTACGCCGAAAAAATTCCTGGGAGAACTCAGTGCTCTCTCGATTAATTTCTATATTCGAGTCTACTTTTTCATGTCCATCAGTCGAATTTCTTTCCATATTTATAATGCCGCAACTCAGATAGAGGTAAATCTTTAAATAACAAATGATTAATCAAATTTTTTAAGATCGTTCGTTTGTGTTTTCAAAACATGTGTTTTCGAAAGCATGAACTTACTTGGCAGTTGTTATCTGAATCTGTTAAGCTTTTATCGATGAATTTTGATATTTTTAACTTTGGGCTACTTTCTAATGAAAATTGATCTGAAACGATATAAGAAATAATTAGAAAACAGGTTTATGAACACAGAGCTGTTTCAACGTAACTCTCATTAGAAATCTCATTAAAATCCGATGAACGATTCTGATTTCATCGATGTTTCAACTTTCGTATATGATATTTATAGAATTTATATTTCCATTCAGCATGCATTCTTAATAGTAATATTATTATCGTTATCTTTTAGAAGTGATTATTTTGAAGTATGATTAAAAAAATGTCAGATAATACTTAATTATGCGTCATCAGTTATCGTAAATATGTGTAATAGAAGTAACTGACGGCAGCAATTACAATTTACAAAAGCCAACTTACGTCAATGTTCAGTCGAATGTGATAAATAATATCAATAACATGAATAATTTGAAAATAAAACTTATTTACGTTGTATCAGTAAGTTTATTACCCGTTTCGTTTTTGCTTCCGGCGAATGACCAAAACAGATTGATGTCTTCAAATGGATTATCTTTGCCAGTTTCCAACTGTCCTATGCAGTATCTTTTAACAGAAATATTTTATTACTCCGAAAAAAATATCCTTTGGATAGACGAAGAATTATTAGTCTATTTTTAAAATTAGTCTACTGTTATTAAAAACAAAAGACGCAAATATAATAAAAAATCTATGGAAATTTGAGAAGAATCCAACTTCATATTTCACTGAAATATAGAAATTATTTATATTTACCATTCCAAACAATTGTCACCCTAAGCATGTTCCAATTGATAAATTTACCCTCGCAACATTTTTACATAACACATATGCATGTTATTAATATTACCTAAAAATTACACTAATATACCTGGAACACCTTGCATTTTCAAATTTACTAAAAATTTTCATCTTCACTGATAAATCCTTCACTCTTGGAGATTCATTCAGGATTTCAGATTCGAACGTGTCGTCCTTCCATGTAGTTTCAACCGGTCTTGTTTGCATGTGAATCAATCGTTCAGTTTGCGTTTCCTCTGTCCTGGCATCTACTTGAAAAATGTTATTAATCGGTGCAAAAACTTTTGTACACATTGATTCACCGATTGCATCTATGCACAGCATGCACATGACGGTAAACCAGAACACGCGTGATTCCATAACGCGACCGTAAGAGAAAACTCGAACGAAAGACTCGACACAAAAATGTCCGGCGTACTTATAAAGTTCCGTTCGCGTAAGTTTACAGAGGAGTAACGTGTCGTCGGTTACATTGACGATAACACGAATGAAAAAGTAAATCTGGGCGTCAACGTGCGTCGTTGCACAATCGAAGGTGTCTCCTTCGATGAGCGAAGCACGATATACCTCAGGATTGCTTGAATTTATAAATATCTCGCAGCCATCTAATATTCTGTTGTAATATCGGGTTAAATGTTTTACGCCAATCTATGTAAGAGCTATCGGAACAATGTTTAAAGGAGACGGTATATCCCTCTTCCTGTAAATTTGAAATTAATATCGAAAGATGATAAAATGTGTTAATATGATAAATTTTATTAATAAAACGGCATTCGGACTTTTCATTTATGCACACAATTCAGCATATTTTGAAGATTTCTTTTAAATGAATTATATCGGCATACTCTTTGAAACTTTGAGAATTCCAACAAACCCGAAGTATTATCGCGTACATTTTTTCATAAAAAATCATTATTTAATAGAGGCGACTATAAAACCATTTATATTGACATATGGATTGTCCATTTTACTCAAGTATTGCCAATAAGTATGTACGGATATAGAATGACGCGCAAGTATGAAGTGTTTGCGAACTATCAAACTTTGTATCGTGCATAGCTAACGTCATTGTTAATCATCGTAAATTACACTTAAATCTGAGCATATGCGAACAGGATGCGTTAACGTAACAACAATAGTAATACGAAGCCCGTCAGAACGCTCGTCTAATCATCTGCGCAAAAGAGCGAAAGTAGAAGCGCGTTGTATGTCTCAGTTGGCTCGCATTATCTTCGTCATTGGTTCTTACGTTCATTGTATCCTGTCCAATATTGACAGATTGTGAATAATGCGCCAAAGAATCCAGTCACTCTGAGGGAGATATTTTACGAACACATCCGATAGCTAAAAATATCCATGATCAAATGGACGTGTCCTATTAACTTTTGGAAATATTCATGTCGATAAGAATATTGTCCCTTATAACATAATGTCAAGTCATATTAGAAACAGGTATATTTTTGTTATAATTATTTCGTTGTTTGAATGTATTTTCCTATGTGTTCGTGCGACAATTTCTGCAATTTATCACTATAATGAGCAACGTTTTAATTTATTGAAAGAAATGCCACTGAATGATGGATGATGCATTAAAGAATAGGCAGGCGATAAAAACGATAACTTGGCTGAACAGTCATTTTGTTTTCCAGATGTGGAGCTCGACAACTTCGTAGGGCAGGAGCCGGTCAATAACAATCAGCCTCAATTTTCGCCAAAGACGCACGAGCCTCCTCCTACGAATGCATCTCCTCAGTCAAATGAAAGTAAGGACACGGCAAGTCAGCCAACGAAACAAGGCATTTTTACATCGATCCTCTCTCCCCTCTTGCCGAACTTGTCATTGTCATCGAATAAAAACGATTCCCCGGGGACGCAAATAAGCCAGACGCCCGAGACTATTAGCGGAGCGACACACGAATCCAATCCTTACGCTTTCTCGCAAGGGCGCCATGGTTCCCAGCAGGATGCGCCGGGATTCTTAGCGACTAATCCCCAGAAAACTTCAAGCGCAGACCTGTCAGGATTTGCTGCTTTCAATCTTGCCGGTACTTTACCGAATCCTCCGCAGTCTACGGCTCCACCCAATTTACCTGCGACTAGAGATGGTGAGTACCTGAAATTATTAAATAACTCGGCGATCGCAAGTGATTTGAGTCATTTTAATTGTTCACATATTGCATATGTAATCTTTTACTTCTTATTTATGTACATTTATGCTTACGTACGACTGGTCCTTCGCACACTTATACTTGAAAATATATAATGTTTTTTTTTCTTTCTTGTTGAAGCTCCAGTTTGTTATCGACTTGGTAATCAGCGACGTCTGAAGTATGCACCGCCACCCGATCTAACGTCTAACAAAGCGAAGCAATATCTGAATCCAGAGATAGAAACATTCTTCCCGACTCAAAATATATGTACCGTACCGCCGACTATTTTGAATCCATACGAGTCCGAGGGGTTCCTGCAAAGTAAGAATAGCAGCGTGCAACAGATCGGTCCTCCATCCGAGCAAATTCCAACTTCCGAGCAGTTATCGCGCAACAGCTCTCTCCACAGCTCGTTTCGATCCAGTCCAGTCGGACCGGCATATAATTCGCCTTTAGCGTCCGCAAATCAAATTCCTCCTTGCGAGAATTCTTCCGTGCCGTCGCAATTTACTTCGTCGCCGGCTAGACCGATACCTTCGCGGTTACTGGAACCTGCAACACCGCAAAACACCCCGGCAAACATTTCCAACTCGTTCTCCAGCTTCGTCCCTTACTTGAACCGAGATCTTCCGTCGACTAATTCAGAAAAAGAGGCAGCCGCGTTTAAGAGCCCAAATCAGCTAAATTCGCCGCCAGAGTTTTCGAGAGACGGCATCGCCGAGACGACGGAGGAACCTGCCAATAAACCGTCATTGACATTAAGAGAGACCGACGTGACGTTCACACCGATATTGGCAGCTCAGGTGACAGAGAAGTTGGAACATCTGCTTGCCGAACGCGAGGAAAGTTTCCCCCGCGAGGTGTCTTCCGAAGCTTCCTCAGAAATTGACGAAGTTACGTCCAACGTCGCCAGCGAATTAGCGAAATCCTTCGAACTGCAAAGCGAGACGCCGCAAACTGCAAACGAGTTCGCCGAAAGGCCGTACGAGACGAAATCAAATAATATCCAGGAGAAAACCGCATATTCTACAAATAATACTTTGAGCGACGTGTTCCTCGGACAAAAATCGCTATCGTTGACGCGGCCGGAAGTATACACAGCCGATAATCACGCAGTCGTAACCGATATCCAAGCGGCTAAATCGAACGCACATCCGTCCGAACAATATTCCCAGGTGCAACCGACATCCCCACCGTGTCCCATTTTTCAACAGACGAACAAGCCAGCGGATCAAAAATCGAGCTTGAATTACGTGCCGTTCGTACGGCCTGTGCACCAAAACATTTTTTACGTGCCGCTGAAACCAACGGAACAATCCGCGAGCGTATACTTCGAATCAACGGCGAAGAGCAGGCTCCCGGACCCTCCTTCGTCTCAGGAGAACAATTGGAATCCACCTGTCGCTGAATCGGTACTTGACGCGACGAACAATTTGCAACAAGTTCAAGAAATATCTGCGTTTAATTCCACAGCGACTGACCTCCCGGTTCATGCGCCCTTTTGGAACGCCGATCAATCGCTGAACGCTGCATTCGGTAATCAATCGACGTCCATCGCGCTCAACCAACCACCACCTCCTACATTTTATAACCCTACGGAATTTGCGGCGCGTCAATTGCCCCAGCAGCCGACCTTCTCGTCCGACCAGCATCCCGCCCAATCGAGTCAGGGCGCATCCTTTTACGAAAGTACCACCGGGTTTCAGCAGGCTTTCGCTGTTCAGGACAATAGTACCGCATATCCTTTGTCTGTTGTTTCTATGACAACAGTACCCGAACCAACAGGATCTGCCACACTCAGCCCTGTTCAAATGTCGACCAATTCGCTAAGCAGTCGCTCCGCGCAAGACACCATCCCACCAAGTTTCCAGAACTTGGTAAGATATGGAATATCTCGAGTAAAAAATGCATTTTGCAAATCAATAGAATTCTTCTTCTTTCTCTCTCTCTGTTTCGTCCTACCTACGTAGTAAACTGTCCCAATAACTATGATTATTAAAAATGTAATATTCTTAGGCCTCCGGATCTCCTGAGCAACGTGTACAGTACAGACCGGTGTATCACCATTGGTTCTACCGTAAGGAAGTGGAAACGAAAATATTATGGCATCCGTTTTCCATGCAGGACAGCTTAAAATTAGAAGAAGTTCACAATTCCAGCGAAATTACGACAGAAACGACAGTAGCTACCGATGGCGGCCGTTACGATGTCAGTATCATGCGTCGTCAGAGAGCGCCCGTATATTGGACAGGAACGTCTAATGAAGTTAGACGATGTTCTTGGTTCTACATGGGACCGATTGAATCGAAATACGTTCCTTACGACGAGAAAACTGCCACGAAACTTGAGGAGGAATATAAAATGGCGTGCATCACAAATGTCTGGAATAGGAGAGTCGAATTGAATAACGGGGAATATATTCTCTTCCACAGCGCCACAGTCCAAGTTCATTATTTACAACCGAACTCCTCCGAGATGTCAGGATCTTGGGGAAATAGCACGGTAAATAAACAATTTACATATAACAAAGTTTGTTGATATTACGTCACTTTAAAAGAAGGCAACATTTATTTTTCATACATGGGCGAACTTACGCTGAAAATTATTTTTTGTTTTCATTTGTGGTTTTATGGTGAATCACATCTTATTAAAAACGCTTCGTTTCATAATTTATGATTAAGTTTGATAATTTTGTCTAACAACGCTATGTCGTCAGTGTCTCTAAAATGATGTTTCGTTTTCTACTGATTTGTAAGTTTTAGTTGCAAATACAATAATAATGTGTAGAAAATTGCGAAGATTCTTTAAAAAGTATATTATTTAGTAGAACATTGTTGCTACTATTTTAGGATATTTTGATTTCTTGTCTAATTAATTGTTTTCTCAATTAAGAAGCTACATGTCTTTGTTCCTAATATCGCACGCATGGTTCTGTTTGAAATGGTCGCTCCTAATTTCTGCAGGGTTCAGCGGACAGTACATATTTACAGGGTATTGCAAATAGGCCGAAAGTCGTTAGAAGAGGAGTCAGTGAATTCAACATAGACGAAGGCGAACCCGAGAAAGTGGATCATCTTCTGTTCCTCGTTCATGGTATAGGTAGTGTTTGCGACCTAAAATTCCGCACCGTAGAAGAAGTCGGTAAGTTGGAAAAATGTTATATTTCAATTTGACGGAACAAAAGATATGAATGCTTACATAAATGCGTGTCGTTTGCAGTCGATGAATTCCGAAGTATATCCCTTCAACTGGTACAGTCTCATTTTCGCACCGCGAGCCTGCAAGGAATGGTAAATAAGATCGAGGTTTTGCCAATCTCCTGGCATGCGACGCTTCATTCCGGCGATACAGGAATCGACAAGAAGCTGCAGGCTATCACGTTGGAAAGTATTCCGAAACTGCGACATTTCACCAATGACACCTTACTCGACATACTTTTCTACACCAGTCCCGTATATTGTCAAACCATCATGCACACAGTCGGTGGTGAGATGAACAGACTGCACGCATTGTTCAAAGAAAGAAACCCGACTTTTGACGGAGGAGTATATATAGGCGGTCATTCGTTGGGTAGTTTAATCCTGTTTGATTTGCTGTGCCATCAGAAACCAATCGTGGAGAAAACTGAAGAGGAAAGTGACGATGATGGTAGTGATAAAGCCGTAAGTGTATTTATAAACCAGGTCTTACCATATTTTTTTATTTTATATTTTAAAAACAGCCTTTGATGATAATAATTTGTCAATTAACATTGGATGAGAAAAAACAACGCTATTACAGGACAACGATTGCATCGGTTCTGTTAAGCCAATGCCCGCGCCCATTCTAAAAAGACGTCTTAGCAAAAGAATCAGCTACGTAATGGGCGCGGCAGGGACTGGACAGCCTTTCATACATTATCCGCAACTCAACTTTCAACCAGGTGCCTTTTTTGCCCTCGGCAGTCCCATTGGCATGTTCGTAACTGTTCGAGGCATCGAAACTCTCGGAGAGAACTTCGTCTTTCCAACTTGTAAATCTTTTTTCAATATCTTTCATCCCTTCGACCCGGTGGCTTACAGAGTGGAATCCTTGATCAATCCCGATGCCTACAAGTACCGACCTATGTTAATACCGCATCACAAAGGCAGGAAAAGGATGCATTTAGGTGAGCGGGAAACGTCGATTATCTGCGACTTGTAAGTCGAGTCATTAAATTCTCGAGAAGACGCGTTAAAATTTACGACTCTATTTAGAACTGAAGGAGACAATGGCACGCGTTGGAGCGGATCTGAAGCAAAAGTTACTCGACTCCGTGAAAAATACGTGGAATTCCATCTTTCAACTGTCCATGTTTTACAAGCCGGACAATCAAGCCCTGGCAAACGAGATTGATAAGGTGGTCGAAGAGCAGCTGCAGCAATCGCAGAACGAAATGGAGCAACGCAACAACGATGACGGTGGCGCGAATATAACAATAGGTAAACTAAATGGCGGTAGAAGGATAGATTACGTCCTCCAAGAAGCGCCTTTCGAATACATCAATGAATACATTTTCGCCCTCACGAGCCATATCTGTTATTGGTAAGTACATCCGTCGCGAAAGATACGCACAAAGAAGAATATTTCTTTGGATTTAACAAAATTGTTTTAATTGAAAGAAATGTGCCTTTTAGAACCGAGCAAACATGTTTGATTTAACAAACAGAATTATTTGGTTTCTCAAACAATAAATATCTCTTTGCGTCAAATAACATATTACCTTCATATTTTCATCCAAACAAAATAATATTTAATAATAATTGATATTGAGTCGTGCTGTTTGTATTAAACAAATCCAAGTCAGACAAATATATATATATTACATTCAAAGAAACCTTTTTCTCTGGCACACATATATTGCATACCCCAACCTCTTCAACGTCTGATTAACATCAGGGAATCCGAGGATACCATGCTTCTGATACTAAAGGAGATGTATGGATCCATGGGTATACAGACCGACGCGCAGCTTCCTCAGCAGACGATGTCGATCGAGAGAGCGTCACCTTCACCTTCCTTGAACTTAGCCGCCTTATCGCCGAGCAGAAGCAACGTAGGAACACCATCACCCGTTATGGGGGTAGATCCTACAGTGCCTATATCCAACAAATCTGTCGGCCCTCCACCGAAGGCCGGTTTTGTACGGAAATCGTGATCAACGGGATGTCTTTCTCGGAACTATGTACCACGATAATTGGATCACGTTGAAAGGAATCAATCTTATTTCCGGTTCGTATTCAAAATCGACGGATCGACGGTTAGAATTGCATTTGAACATTGTAGTTAAGGCAAAAATATCGAGGAAGGTCAAATCAAACTCTGTATTTTACGGTATCTCTTTATTACTCTGATAGATTTTCTTATTACAAGTAAATTAATCGGCGATATACGTATGTGTGAGATGTTAATTGCACTATGACGAGCTCGGCCTACGTGACCTATCGTCTCGACGAAGTTTAGTCTATCTTATTTGTTGTCTAAAGCTGTATAAAGGAGAGAAACCAGTTATTAAATGTTAATGACAAGAAGATGTGAATAATAATTTGAATTATTGATACTTCTGATTGTAAATAATCGACGATTTGCACGTGCAGTTGTGAGTGTGTGATGCGCGCGGAATGTTGAAGGGGATGGATATTGCAATGAGAACGTGCAAATGGAATTACGTGTAAATACACGGTTTATAGTCGATTAAGAGGATTGTAGATTATATAAACTTCGACGATACATTTCAACGAGTCGTGAGAATATTGATTTGAATTCTCATGTACGTACGTGTTTTAATAAATTACTGTATTCTTTTATGTTCGTGGAATCATTCCCTCGCACAATTTGATTACAGGCTGTTCGTATCGCGAATCGATCGATACTAATTGTATTAATGCCGCGAGCGAGCTGTCAAATACACTTAACTATTGCAGCACGTGACGGAATTATGTGGAACTTGGACAGTAATCTCGACGTCGTGTGGTCGCGAGCAGTGCCGATATGTTCCTTAAAATGGTGTTACATGTCCACTCGGATCAGGGAACGCCGGCAGCTTATCGCGGCTTTAGCGGGGCTAGAAAAAAAAAGAGAACGCTTCGGCACATGCACGGCTATCACGAAACGCTAATTAATTGCGGTGCAAGCCCACCAGCTTCGAGACTGCTTTGCATTTTGCGTGCAGGCCCTCGTAAAACTACATGCCTGTCAGCCCCGGCGAATTTCAAGATGATTTATCGTCCTCGCAAAACTAAGTTTTTCGCGGTACTTCGTGGCTTCTCGGCGGTTCCGAAAGGCACGGCCGACGCTTTCGACATGCAACTGTGGTCGCTGTGGGCACGATCCGTAAAGTTGACGTCTCTGATCGACTGCTATTTTATATCCTCACCATCTCAGCCGGGGACTGACTTTGAAATATGTTTCCTTCAATCTTTCGACGTGGGATTTTCGGTCGGCACGTTTCACGGTGACCCGCATACGCTATAATTGCGGGGAAATTAAGTGCCGGCTTTTACGTGACGGCGTTTAATACGTACGGTCGAACCTATATTGTCACGCGAATAATCATGCACACGGAAAGTCACGTTGTACATCAATCTTTTCGTAATTTCGTCAAATTATAACAAGTATCGAGGAATTGCGCGTGGACATCGACCGAATACAAATTGGAACACCCTCCCTTGGAATATCGATGCAACGAGTAAGTATAACCAAATTTTTCGTATTTACTCAAATACAGGATCGCTATGCATTTCACAAAAGTACGTACGTTTCTCTCTTTTTCGCGAATGACTTTTATTCTTTTGTAAAGTGTAATGTCTGAGATACTGACATACACATCGCTTGCGCATTCTCACATCAATAGTGTGTTCTAAAATTTACATGAAATCTTCGCTATATAACAAGTGGCTATTCTAAAACGCTATTGTACATATCATCTCCGTATACAATACACCATTCAAATCCGACAATTCGATATGCTTTGCTTACTACAATATATGCGCGCGGCTACGTTTTCCTTTTCAACATGCAAATACTCGTACGTCGTGGGACAGACGTTTATGCTCAACGGCGGTAACATAAAGTGGAGTAAGGGTAAGATTTTACAACGAGCCCCGGTAAGAGTGATTTACACCTCGGAAAAACTGCACGACGTTTACGATAGCTACTCACGAATTATTTATAGCGTCTGGCGGTGGCAGGGTGAACTTCGCGAGATATATTTTTCTTCGTTTTCCTGTGAAGAGATCGCCGACGCGTCGTGACGAAGTAGATATCGTTGGCATATTTTCATTGAAACACTCGGTTATATCCATTAAGTCAGAGGCACGACAGAAACCGTGTGACTAACAAAAGTGGAGTCGCCAACGCCTGAGAATACGCCTGAAATCGTTTTTTGAATAAAATCGATAAAGGGAATCGTTGATGCAATTTTTCCATTTATCTAGAAGTATTAAGCATTTTGTAAGGTGTTACTACAATTGACTGCTGTGTGTTTTGAATATATCTCTAATATTCATGTGTGTGTTTTCTTTTTTTATCAATTTATAACTGTTTTGATGTTATTTATAATTGTTTCTTTAAAAAATCGTGTATTATATGTGGGTAATGAAAATTACAAACGGTATATTGAGCGTCCCTTCCTCTCTTAATGAAAGATTCTCTTAATTAAGTGAATCGGGGTTAAAATTTGCCGCGCCTATTCTTCAATTTGGCAATCTGCGAGATTCACGCACGCGCTAAGAGCTCACAATTCCACTATTAGGATCTTTAGACCTTCTATGCTCTAGCTGGCGGGCATAAGGTGTATTTAAATAAAATTACTCGTTTCTAACGTGCGAGAAACCGCTGCGCTCAGTGGCTCGGTGTGAAGTGGTGTCAATATGTCAACGCCGAAAACTCTGTAAGTACCTTTAAACGATTTCTCTCGCGATAAATACTTCCGTGATTGTACAATATTTAAAAATTTGCAAATTTACTCACAGCAGACATACGACGGATTCTTTTGTCTCTCGACTTTGTTTATCCTGCTTTTATTTATAGTTTTCCTCTTACATTTACAGGCACACTTAACGAAAGACTAATAGCTTAGGATAAATTCTAAAGCGTCGTTTGCATGTTCTCTCCAACGTAACACGTTATATAGCCAATTTAATCCCAATGTTCAGCCCTACGCATCAGAACTCCTCTCTCAGTGATTAAACGAAGAAGTATTACGATCATCCGACCTTACTTTATGTATGTCCGTATTGCACCGCGTTTTATTTCGCGATACGTATAACGAGTTAATGGCAACTTTATGCGCGACTCCGATGACATTTACTACTGCTCTATTCCCGCTCCGCTCGCGTAACAGCGGCCCGTATTATCGTATTGTTTCCTGAGGCACTCTTCATTGTTCTTCCATTACGGAAATCGAGCTCCGGGCTCCGAGTTTAGAATTTATCGTGCGGTACGTACCGTCGTGCGCCGTGTATGGTATACATTTCGGAAATTTGGATTTTTGCCTATTTCCGCTCTAATTCGGCTGTCGGACATATGGGTTTCTGGCACGTGTCCATCTCCCGCTATATTTTCTGGAACAACTCGCCGCTTCGTGACTACGTTACTATCAAGATTTGGCGATCGAATTCGAATTTCAAATTAATCCCAAGCCGCCGGCTAATACTTGCATTTTCGTTATACGCTAATGACGCCGATTCCTCTCGCAGAGGCAACCTGTCAACTTCAACTCTGGTTTATACGATTCGAAAGTGTAAAAAGTAGCGCTAATGCGAGTCGTTATATTCGCGAGCTGCTACATTTAACGTTAAATGTACAGTGATAATCGTTGCGCGTTCTGTTATACACTAGAAAAATTCTCCCTCCCGCGAATGTTCTTGTTGTAATTAACCGCTCGTGCTTTTTGCTGATATCGATTTAGGTACGTCGGCAACTTGGATCATGCAGTATCCGAGGACCTGTTGTGTGCTCTGTTCTCTCACATCGGCACCGTTACGAGTTGCAAGATCATCAGAGAGGTAAGACGTTATCGTCTTTTCCGCATTCTCGCGTTTCGCAAATCGCTTATCACCATCGCGTAATTGAATACAGAAACGTTGCAGTTTCCAATAAAATTCAAAGAAACATCGAGCAACACGATGTTCTTATAAACACCGCGTTACAGATACTCTCGCGGTACGATCGATACTGTATTTTTTTTCTTTTACTTAAGCTGACATAATCGATCAGTTCGAAGTTACGCCTTCCGTGAATAATTGTGGTAATTTATATATGTTATTATGTCGGAACGCGAGACGAGCCAGTTTCTCTCTCATGGCCTGTGTACGCCACCCTCAAAGATCGTATCGTTTGCACGGAAACCCGCATTAAGACAGAAATTTCTGTCGTTTATCGATAGTGGTATGTGAACGTACGTCTTACTCGGCGCAAGCTGCATTAATAGTCACTTGAGCGTGATTTTAATTGCTCGATGACGGTTACTTGGTTAGTGCAGTTATTATTAATTAATTAACGGTTAATTAATTATCGAGAAACCACAACGATAAGGATTGATCAATTTCTCGCAAGTTGTCGCAACGGTATTCTCCATGCTTCGAATTTTAACCCACGAATATTCCGCTTTCTCTTTTATTATTCAAAATTGCTATTCGACATTACATATGCGCATTTAAAGCTCGCTAGTGTCAAATTAAAATACCGTCCGTCAATGACAGTATTAGCAAATAAGTATAACCCGAGACACAAATTGTCAGAGGAATGCGTGAACGTAATCGGTGAAGGGTCAGTCATCCTTGAACAAAAGTAGGAATCGCGACCCGACGAAACGTGCGGATATTGACGGGCGGCCTCACTCAAGGGAACGCTAATGTTTCGCAGAAGCGTACGCGCTTACGTGAGTGCATGCGAAAACAACGGCCGGACCCCACGAGCGTAATTGCGAAACGAACGAACGTGGCAGACGCGCGGGGCAACCAAACACCGAGGTTTGTACACTTTTCTCCTTGATTCTCGCAAGATCTAGCCTCTCTCGCTTATTTCTGCCCGCCTTTCTCTCCACTTCGGCTCGTTATATATTATTTTCCTTCCATACCGGAGGGTTGCATGCACCACGAGATATACGCCGGTTGCACGGTGCAGTTTCGTGCGACGTAACACTTGTACATCATCCACCTTCGTGTATACGTCACACAAAGTTCCTTTTTTTCCCTCATCGGCACTGTTCTTCCCTTGTTTCCTACCAGCCCGCCTCTTCTTTTTTCTTCCTTCGCTAAGCACCAAGTATATAAGCGATACGCCGCCTATCACGGAAGATATTATGTGGCGCGGAAAGTAATATTATCAAGGTACCGTCAGTCTCGTTTTCTCGCGCGTATTCGCAATTAGAAACGGAGCGATTTACAAAGGATGCGTGTATAACGGGAATTAAAATATTTAAACTTCGTTCTCCATTTTGCATATGCGTTATGATACGGAGTCTCCTTTCAAGTAATATAAAAACGTCCTTTTAGCATATCTCGCGTATCTTTCGTGATACAATTTTGCTTATCGTAAACTTTGTGTTATTGTGCAGCGATGATTTTGCACATTTTTATTGTTTACGTCTATTTCTCTCTCTCTCTCTCTCTCTCTCTCTCTCTCTCTCTCTCTCTCTCTCTCTCTGTCAATATTGACATGCGGAATAAAAAAATTTAATCAGAAGATGCAGATGAGAAGTTTGCAGGCAATCTTTCTCAATTGAATAAATAAATATTGCCAGTAAAAACAAGTTATTGATTTTTCCGACTCCAAAAGAACGATCGTCATCGTTAAATATTGAAAAAATTGATGCGATTTCTTATTTTCCTGCCGATACGAAACGCCAGCACAAATATTGATCTTATGACTGCGGGACGAAACATGAGATTGTCAAAGTAACGTATCAAGGAGATTGGTGCTCAAACGATCGTATTTTGGACCCTAGTAAGATGATAATACAACAACATTGTAACAATTTATTGACGTGATGGATATGACGCAATTGCAAATCAATCGTGTTTTCAATATAGAAAATAATTTCTTTTGCTTTATGTAATTACGTACGGTAACCAAAATACCGTTCAATTTACCGAAAGTCATTATAGTTATTTTAATTATATTTTTCGAGGAAGTCACTATAGATGAACGCGTGTTACGAGATTCTCATAGTTAAATCATGCGCAACAACTAAAATTATGATGCAGCTACATTGTATCTGAGCGGTATGATTAAGTAAGCCTCAATTAGACGGTAAAATTTTAGCGACTAGTGTCCTGGAAGCTTTCTACTACTGAGCGCAAAACAATTTCGCTTCCTGATTTACGTCACGAGAAGCAGGAAGGATATGAGCTTTCACTTTCCTTTACGTGGTCGCTCATAACACTATGCTAATTGCTGTATTGTCAATGAGAAATGAATACCGGATTGTTCACTTTCGTTTTACCGAGCGAAATACCGATGCGCTTATCCGGGCACCGTAACGTGACACTTAACATGAACAGAACGCGTTTTTCTCATTTTCCTCTTCAATTTGGTCGAATGGTGAATGGTGTCGCGCGCACCTGTCACGATCTGTCAAGTAAAAGCGCGGTATCTTCCCGATACCATTGATAGCGACGTGAATTCATGCTTCGAAGGCGCAAAAGTCTGTTTAAAATACATTTGATGACAAGTACTATGAAATATAATGCATCATATTTGTAAGCTATCGCACAAAGAAGTCAACACGCATCACCCGGAAACAAAATTTGTTTCCACATTATCGCGAAATATCGCTCGATACAACATACAACATCCCGCGCACTTTATTAATAAGTAACATAGCATAGGTCTATGAGAGCACAGGAGGATAGTGCAAAATAAATAAAAAATTAGTTCTTTAAATACTGGAATCTATATTTAAATAAATATTTGATTCTGAGTAAGCCGCCTATGTTTAATTTCTAATTAATTAATTAATTAAAGGGACGTTTCCTCGCGATATTTTTATGCGGGGAAACGACACTATTTTTATTGAATATGTCAACATAGACCTCGTCTATACGACGAAAACAGGATTTTCCACTTTCATAATAAAGCGTGTGTTATTTAAGTATGTAATTGTATTACGCACTTTAATTACTTAATTTACGTAACGAACCATCCTCTTTTCCAAAGAGTTTCTGCTCCGTTTCTCAGTGACGACGACTTGATATTTATGAAGCTTGGTGTATTATTATTGCAAGATAGCGTTTTGTGTTATCGCGAGTTCTTTAATAGGCCTTAATAGTTATGAGGGGAAGTCCGTGCGATGAAATAAAATATAGTGGTAAATATAGTACGGGAAATAAGGTGGAAACACGCAACAATGAAAGATGCGAGGAGCGGCTATGTAAAAACAGGTGAGTGAAGAGTCATATTTATTTTAATAACACTTCATAATTCCCAAACATATTTCTAATTAAACTAATATTGCTTCCTTAATACGTTCTAATAACACTATATAATATTATACTTCGCACGAAACGCTGCTATTAAATATTACATCCTTTTACTTGAAGTAAATGTAAAAGTTCCGGAATATGTGGCGTCATCATATCGGATGGACAAGAGAGTGGCCCATTTCCCGCTCGAGTTATTAAAATTATTATGCAGTCGGCTGCTCGCGACATTGAATCGCCATCGTTTCCCATGACGACGCCGTCGTCGCCGGTATCGTTTGGATAGTTAATGTGTATCAATATTTTACGTATTCCACGTAAGAGCGCGGTAGGTATTTGCGTTTATTAGCTATAAACCCCCTGCAGGTGGGTTTCGCCGACGGATTTATGGGCCGCGCACTTCCCGCGAAAGTGCCGGTCGAGAGACGAAAGGTTTTGTGCATTATGTGTTGTAGTGGAAAAGTGCTGAACGTGCGCTCACATCCGACACGGATCCGACTTTGCGTACGTTATTATTCGGCATTCACATGAAATGACCGCTGAAACCCGTTATCGTCATTCCATATCGTGACGCTTAACTCTGTAAATCGTTTCGCGGGAAGAGCGCGCGCTCGATCATTATCGACTCACGCGTATCAAATTGCAAGAAGATCTGTTTCTTTTTTCGGGTCAGATATATGAAAACAGCGAGCTTTAATTTCGTTTAGTCCGATGTCCTCAGGTTTTCACCAATATTGCCTTCATCAGCGAGATTTTCTCTTGTATGTTTTTACTCTCCTAGTTTTTTTAGTCGTGCCTTCCCGCTGAGAGAAACGCGAGAAATATTCTACGAGTGAGTTCTAGCGGGATATTTGGAACAGGCTCCGTTCGAGCAGTCTCCTTAATTGAATTTAACTAGACGGAATACTCAGGTGGATCCTTTCATTGTAGGACGCGGCAGCTGATGCAACTAACGCTACTCCACCTCGTTATTTCTGACGCTGCATCCCGCTATCCCGTTAATTTACACGCAGCTAAATGAGAGGTGTATTCGGACGTGCGATATGAGCGATGCTAGGTTGGTGCATACACCTGTAACAACTACGTGTAATATTATTCATGAAAATTCCCACGCAAAGAAACAACGATGCTAACCATAAGGCACTAGTTGCGTTTGACTATCATGACGAGTGAAGAAAGCCAAGACTATCGCCAGGTGCAATTTTAATCTATCGCATTATTAAAATAAGATATAAAACGCGGATAGTAATTTAGAAAAATATATTATCCCCTACGAAGAAAAAAATGATTTCTTGGCAGAAAATATAGCTGTTGCTGATAAAATATTTATTATATTCAATAAAAATATGTTAAAAAAAACATGATAACTATATTTACATTAACGGTCGTAAATATACATTTCTCTGATATCAGTTTGTTCAAAGCGACGCCGATGCATTCTCATCTCTCACCAAATTTGATATATGCGGCTAAAATTGACATTGTACGCCGCTCAGCGTTTCGTGCAGGATGCAGAAAAGATCGTTCATCATTCTGCATAGCGTGCAGTCGGGTCCAGAGAACATGGAAAATGTCACAGGAAG